TGCAGATTACGTTCATTAGAAATTTAGCAACCCACATGAACAAGAACATCCTTACTAATGACCCCTTAAAGCAGACCCCGAATCTCGTGAAAAGCCTGATAGACTCTACACTTTGTCAACGGATTTACGGTAGGACAAAGGCTGCCGAGCTGGAAGACCGTTTTCTCTGAAGATCTGGGCGGTAGGTGCTTGGCTTTCTGAGACAGCCCTGATAATGTTCAGCTGCTGCTGGAAAACGAATCCGAAGCCTCTACTGACAGTTCTTCTTCTGATGATTCGTCCGAGTCACCACTCGGAGTGGTGAGCAAGCAAAGCGATTTGCAACATCCGCGGGATGTGCTGGCAGGCTTGTCTGCCGTGCTCTCCGCCGACATGGCACACCGCCGCACAATTCTGCCGACTTGCCGAGAACGCTCGTTCCCGTCAACCCACTGTGCGAACAAACCAAGCTCTTCACTGAAGACGAGCTGCTGGATTTTCCAGTTGAAGACTTCCACATTGGAGATCTTCGCCATGATCATCTCCTTGTCAGCTTGAGACGAAGCCGTGCACTGCCTGACATCTAAGAGCGAGAGTCTGTCATAGTTCCGATCCACAACATCTTGCGACGATACCTGTATTCGAGATTCCATGCCCAGAACGCTGGCCTCAAATATCTCTGCAACACACCACGCGCGGAAAAGCACTTCGAAGGCATCATCAAGGACAATGAGCTGCCGGAAGCCCAACACCTCCAGTGCTAAGTGGGTCATCATGTCATCCTGGGTTGGGTTTTTAAACCCTCTGAATAATTTCCAAAAATAAAGCCCTCTTAAACTCAGACAAGAAAATCTAAAATTCTCCCAAAGGCCTGCCTAGCATCGAACTTGTTCAGCTCTGATCTGGGGTCAGTATTGCTGAAGACCTTCTCCACTCGACAGGCGCAGGGCCGGAATGCTTCGCCGGTGACTGAGTCCTCCGTCTGGTGCTTAGTAGGGACCCCCAAAATATGTAGAATAATGGCCTTTTTATGGATATTGGGCCAGTATTTTACCTATTTTGGAGGGTTTGGGTAGTAGGGACCGGGGGAAGGGATCCCTGGAGTAGTACCTTCATAACCCTTTCAAAGGAGCCTTTTAAGGGAACCCTAGTCCCTACATAATCCCCAACAATAGTCTCCACAATCCATCCCACCATTTCCTACTAAGAACCAGACAGTCCTTCCGTCTCCTATCCCAGGCAGCCCATTCGGGCGTACCCCGGGGCGGTTCGGGCCCGAAGCCAGCACAAATGCTGGCATGCTGGTTGATGGAAAAGGCGCACACCCAGTAGGTCGTCTCCAGCTTGCCGGTCAACTTGGCTCGGACCTGGTGGAAGCCTGACGTTGTGGCAATCTTCACAGCAATCTCCTGATAGGCAGACAGCCCCAAGGCATCTGCCAGGATTGCCGCGAGGAGGTTTCCAAAGCCGTTGTTCCAGTTGTGCGTGACCATGACTTGTGCCGTCGTTTCTCTACTTGACCACAGGGTTGCCAGGGCACGGCCGCCATCTCCAACTCGCGATTCCGGGATGATCGCACGTCGGACCACATCGTTCGTCAAGGAGCGCCGGGGATCAAAGCCTGGCATCATCTGACCATCGAGAAGTCGTTCCCAGAAGCTCAGAAGTGCACCGAGGCGGAAGCCCCGATGTGCGAGCTGTTTCACCACGTTGTCATAGACTTCTTGCTCCATTGGGCTCAGGAGGCTTGTCATGGAACTCAGCCCTCGTGAGAGGGCGTACCGAAGCTCCGGCGAGTCGTCTGGAGGGCGACCTTGCCAGAGAACCCCGGAAAGAAGGCCAAGTCCAAGTGAATTCACCACCCAATCAATATGGTTCACCAGTACAACGAGCTTATCTCTGCTCATGATGAGCAGCACATTGGCCTCGGACTTAGCAGTCTGATACTGCAAGAGTGCATGCACCCACATGGCAGAGACCACGCCATAACAGCACATTGTCAGTCCCAGCATGGTGCAGATCAGTATCTCCATGCCAATAATCTGTGCGGCCCAGATAGCTTGTTTCCTGGGTGGCCCTCGAACTCGCCTCGTCTCCTGCAGAAGCATCTTCAACTTGACCGCTAACCTCTTGCACGTCAAGGCCGTGTACGTAATCCAGACGGTACACAACACTGACACACTGACCACAATGAGAGGCACTGTGTCCACAGTCGCAAAAGCATAGCGAATGTACAAGCTGCAGCACATGACAAAGATCCATATGTGAGAACCAGTTGTCGAGCAGGATGTCTGTTCCAAGCTAGACCGGATTCCCGAAATTCGCATTCGCAAAAGATACAGAGTCCAGCCAAGCGCAACACATTGCACTGCATTGCCAAACTGAAACCAAGGGGTGGCACCAAAATACAGATCTTCGTTGTTGTCTAGACGTATGAACGAGACCTGCTGAGCTGCCGCCGCTAGCCAATATGCAAACATGCACCACTTTGCATCATGTGCGTAAGTAGAGCGCGGATGTTTCCTCAGCACGGAGCATATCCATGTGAGCGTTAGCAGCAAGAGAGTAACTGTTTGCTGACCGACACCGAAGTTCATAGGATGTTCCCCTTCCCACCATAGCCAGAGCACGCATGGATAGCCTGCGAGGCAGGTCGACAGACAAATGATCAGGCTGCAAAGTGTCACAGTGCATCTCCGGGAGCAGTGCCTGCCAGCCGACGATCCGGGGACGTGCAGAACTCCGAGGCATAATCCGGACCAGGTACTCAACTTATACACTTCGAACCTTTCGTAGGGCAGCAGAACTAAACACAAACCCAGCAGGCACAAAAGAAGGCTGCAATACAGCAACCGCCACTTCCACTCAAAACCAAGGGGCCATTGGCAAGGCCGCATCTTACTTACAAGGTGCAAACCTTTAATGCCCTAGCGCTCCGCGAATCCTAAGTCTGCAAACCTCGAGCCGAGGCATTGAATCCTTAAACTGAAACTCCTTGAGCCCTACAACCCGTTGGAAGACAGCTCAAAGCGTGACATCTTCAACATGTAGCATCCTTTCTCAACCCTAGTTATCAAACGTAACAACTCATCCCCATTTTTTAATGCAGGCAATCGCTAGAAGCGTAAGGCCAAACATCTCTTGGGTTCTGGACGTTGAAGTTGTCGTTTACGGGGGGTCGGGCGAAGAAAGCCCGAATTAATTCTGCACTTCCGAGCCGGATCGCACGTCAAGGCTGGGGGGTCATGGGGCTGCGGGGATTTGGGCATTGTAGACCTTGTGTACTAAAGTTTCCAAATGCTCACACTTTCTCTATGCAAACCCACACACACACACACAACTAATTACGTATGTTTGTGGAGTAGGCGCATAATTACAAGCAAATGAGACATGACACAGCTAACACGTAAAACAAATATTCATTCAACACCTTTTCATGGAACGCAAACAAACACAAAATGTACATGTCTATGTCTGTGAACGCACGCGCTTGCATGCATTCAACCAGGTGGAGAGAGCCTGCACAATTCACGCACATACATGCATGCACACACACACAGAGACATATACATATATATATATACACATACATATATATATATAGACATATACATACACACATACATACAGACAGACAGACAGACAGACGTATGCATACCTGCGTACGTACATACTTACATAATTACATATACTTACGTACATACATAGACATACTTCAGCATGCAGATGCATGCTATAAATCATACTCCTATGCAAGTATACATATACATATAGCTGCATACATTCATAAACATATACAAAACTGCATGCAGAAAAGCTTATACATACGTACATACATACGTACAAACATACATATGCATAACATCGTACATACATACATACATGCGTACAAACTAACGTAAGTACACCGACATACTTTTACGTCAACATGCACACTAATGTACATACTTGTGCACACGCAGACATATACAGATACCTACACATACGTACACATGCGTACACATACATGGACATACATGAGCATACATACGCATAGATACACATACATGCACATATATACATGTATAAACATGCAGGCACACACACATACACATCTACACGCATACACAAGTAAACACACACATGCACACACACACACACACATGGATGCATGCATGCACACAAAAATAGATACATGTGTGCATACAAACGAACGTGCACACCAACGAGCATACATACCAACAAACAGTCATGCATGTCTGGGCATATACTGACATACAGACATACATCGGTACATACATACATGCCTACCTGCACACATACATACTTACATATGTACATAGTTACATACTTACAGGGACGAACACTTATCTTGACACGGTTGTGTAGGAACATGTTTAAACAATGCATAGGTATAGCAGGGTATAACCATGTGGGGTTCGAGGCTTGGGGCTTTGCCTCAGCCTGGATCACAAACGCAAGTCGCTAGGCAAAACACCATGGTGAGTCTGGCTAGCCCCCCCAACGTCTTGTGGCCCTTTTTCCCAAACCCTAAACGCCCCGCTAAACCCTAAACCCCCTCTGAACTCAACCCCATGCCAAGTCAAGCAAGTTTTCCCGCCAGCGCTGCGATCCTGGCAGAATCACCGGCTGCTTGTTCAGTCACAGCCAGCGCTAAGTGGGAAGTGCACGCCTTAAACACTACCTTCACCCTGAATAACGTATACCTTTTGAGGGTTCCTTCCGGATTAAAGTAAAGCCCCCAGGCATCACAACCTTCAATCCCTGAGGTGATTTTGACAACCATGCAGGCCATGCACCTCCCAAATCAAGTGCAATCTAAAGTGCACAGCCGCCTCCTGAGGGAGACGAATCCTAGAAGTTGCTGATTTCAGAACAGGGGAACTGCAGTCCGGGAAAGAGTAGACACTGGTGTACCTTCATGCTTTCAGGACATAGGTCCAGAATTCATGAATGCAAGCTTCTTAGGGTTTCGAGTAAATCCGGCTGAAGTCATTGCGCTGCCGGAGGGGTTCTCTGAGTCACAGAGCTTCTGCGCGGGCTGTTTCAACCTGCCAGAAGACGCTTGGGGATTGTAACGACGGTTTAGGGTTACGGGGCCAGGGTTGTTCGGGTTGCCCTTGAAGCTACTTCAGCGCACTTGGGAACCGTAAGAGCGACGGTAGTCTTAATCATCTCGAGTTTTATTTTCACAACACTGAAACTATAGCTTCAATGAGCACTCAAGGTTGAAGTACATCTCGGTACTCGGGATTGTTTCGACGCGGACTTCTCTGATGTGCCCTGTGAAGATTCGACTTGAGGCTATGAGGTTTAAGAGTTCTTTTTCGAACCCCCCAAACCCGGATCAGATCATTTTGTGGGTTGCAATTTGCCGGGTGTTTGCCATTTTGCGGTTTGGGGTGTTGGGTCTTAGGTTTGCGTCCGTCCCCCAGCACGGCCGCACACAACAAAAGCCGTGTATCCCGAAACGGATTGGATAGAGACCACCTCGAAAACCTCCAAAGCCATGCTGATTGATTTTCCCATGTTGACTCCAGCCGTTGTTGGTTGGGGCACCTCTATAGCGACACGGTGGGAAGGGAGGAAAGACAGTCCCAAGCAACTCAACAGCCTCGCCAGCCAAAGCCCTATTTCCCACCCCTGAGCCCAAGCAACCTAAACCCTAAACCCTATACCCTAAACTCCTAAACTCCTGGTAACACTCCTTCAATCCCTTTTTGCCACTGGACTCAAGTCTAGCCAGTCTACGACCCTAAACCCTAAACTCCTTAAATCCCTAAGCCGTTCCCAGAGACTCCAATATCCCTTGATTAAGGAATATACCTAAAATTCTAGTAGGATCCAATTATATGGTTTAAGGAATATTCCTTAATTAAGGGATATTGGAGTCTCTGGGTTACTAGCAAGGCGTCTGCTCGACGTCAGGCCTCGAGGATGGCTGCATTGAGCTTTTCAAGACGCGAGGGCAGGCCCGACAATTCCCCTGCCCGAGTTTGCATCGCTGCTCGGTGTGTAATATAGGGGCCTTAAGAATTAGAATAGGATTTTGGGGCCCATTATACTATAATCATAACAAGGAACCACCAAAATAGAATTATTGAGGCACCTAAAGTAAATTTCAATACGTAGGTTTTTGAGCCTTGGGGCAGTCGGGAGGTTGGTCAACAGGATAACCCTAAACCCTAAACCTATAAAGCCCTCGGGTTGGGAGCCTCACGAAACTCTACAGCTTAAAAATCCTAAACCCAATAAGCCCTAAAATGGGTTTTGCCGAAGCAACACCCGTTGCTCCGTCCTAGTAGACTTATGCACCTATCCAGCCACCAAGACCTGACATACGCGACAGCCGCTCGATTCTTCACGAACGGCCTTCGCCCTTTGGGGGGTTGGAGTTTGGGATTCATGTGTCGCCAGAGCCCGAGTCGAGAGTCCTGACCTGAATACCTTAACCCACCACCCAACAAAGCAACACAAAGAAGCATGTATTTCAGGAAGAAACCTGTAAGCAAAAAAATATCACCCTTTCCAGAAGCACAAAAAATCAGCCTTCAAAACGAGACACGACACCACAAGCCCACAACAACCAAAGTTTAGCTAAACAGTGCTACCCCGGCCAGCCTAGACGTGCTTCACCTTGCTTCCTGCATGCAGCTGCAGATGTGTTGAGATGCACGCATACGGCTCTGTGTCGGACAAAATGTGACCTATGCTGGAAAAAGCAGCAGGTTCCAGCAGGCTCATATTCGTGTCTCTGAGATCGAGGAAAGCCTGGGTCTAGTCTGTTCTCAGAAAGACATGGGTCCGCCCTCAGCCGATACATGGAAGCAACATCTGAAGCGGAATAAGTCGGTAGCAGAGGGGCCTCAATACTTGGAACCCCAACATGGTATTGGTAAATATGTAGGCCTCTACATCAAGTAAGGGACAGGTTCTCGGCTAATGTAGGATAGTAGGAACCTGATCTAAGAAAACCGTGGTCCTTTCACCCCAAGATACTAGGATCCACATAAAGCGCCCTGACAAAGACCCAAGTTGTCTTAATCCGGATGCTACAGCCTCTCCGGGCCACCTTCGACATTTCGCGGATTCACAACGCAGCTCATCAGGTCTCCCTTGAACTCTGCTTAACCCTCGCATACGAAACCCTGAACCCATACACGGTTCTGGAGCCCGCAGAAGCTTGAATATTCAACCCTTCAATGGAGCTTTGAACTGTAAACCCATAAAAGAACGAACATAACCTTCTCATAAAGCTCTCAAACATTCTACGGTGCCGATTCTACTCTATACAGTATCCGGACACGCAAAAAGTCCTTTGAACTCTAATTCACGAGAAATCTGAAGCCCCTTCGCTTAAATCTTAAATCCACAAGCCCTCAACACTCAATCCCGAAAGCATGCAAGACCCCAAACACATCACGAAGCGCCCAAGACTGAACACCAAGCCACCACCCTCCCCCCCCCCCCTTCCCCGCCCCCCTCCCCGATGTGAAAAAAGGGTCCTTTGCAGCTGCTCTCCCAGCGTGCGCATCTCCACCAGGAGCTGGTCAAAAGCGAGCCTCGTTGTCTCCGGCTGCGGGGATTTTTCTATGTCGAAGAAGGAGATTTTTGAAAATAGCAGTTGTTATAATGGAAACAAGGGCCGACGGTGAGTACATAGTAGTATACAAAGAAAATCAAGGCAGCTGAATTATTAATGAGTTAAACAACATCAACACGAAAAACACAACGCAGCATGCCAAACAGAATCGAAACAGCTATCCTATCCAATCGACAAACTCTCTATCTATCTATCTATCTCTCTGTCTCTCTCTCTCTCTCTCTCTCTCTCTCTCTCTCTCTCTCTCCCTTTAATTGTTAACCCTGAACCCGAACAGCCATGCTCAAAGCCAGACTCCCTAACTCACGCTCGGGTGAAGCGACAAGATCTCAGCACTCCGAAACCCGAAGGGTCCATGTACCCAAAAAGTATATACATTGGCCCCAATCTACCTGTATAGGGACTACTTTAAGGCCAATGTATTTAGGTACATGGACTCTAAGGGAAATCCAACTGTCCAATTGCTATTTCCGAGGCACCGGTGTGCTGCGACGTCCTCCATCTCCGTCTCAGGAGTGGCATCTTGGAGACCAGGTGGTCATACAGACGAAGGTTCGGCGCTTCTAAAAACCAAACAACGCAGATGACGATGTTTCGATGATGTTAAGATGCATGGCCATAGCCTAGTCTCTAGATTGCGAGGATAGGGTGGGCCTCACAGGGTTTCGGGTTTAGCTACCCGGCAAACTCCCAAGAGCCGCGGCACTGAGTCTTGGAGTTTAGGGTTTAGGCATGTTTTAGGGTTCATCGATAGGGTTTAGGTAGGGTTTGGGGTTCAAGGATTTAGCGGTCCCGATCATGACAATGAGAAACCCCAATCCCTAAACGATACATCCTGAGCCCTAGCCTAGAGCTCCAATCCCTAAAACCGAGACCCAGCTGTGCAGAAGGAACGTCGGTCCGTCCCCGAAGCCCCAAATACCCCTAAAACTGAAGCCGCGAATCTGAAATCTGAAAAAGTGCTTAGGCTTGGAGTAGTAGCAATATAGGTCAGCTTTTGGGTGAATGAAGGTCAGAGTTGGTCAGGCCTTTGAAATCTTCGGGTACGTACCCGGTATACCGGCTGCAAAAAGACAGTTGTGGCGTGCGTATCTTCTTCTAGACGCTTCGTTGCTGAACCTCCTCCTAGCATGAGCCTGCCTAGACCCCCCCAAAGTAGGTAAAACAATGTTCCAAAGCCTATGAAAGGCTATCATCCTGCATACTTCTGGGGTCCAGGTGATGACTCCCTCGTTAAGCAAGGGTCCTGAAGAAACCTCTGCGTCAGCAGAAAGCCCCGAAGGCGTCAAGCTCGTTCATTTTGGGGGCTCATATCTAGAATCCTATAGATATAAGGCTAATTATCCCAGAAAGGAACTACTTTGGGGCCCTATGGGTATACATCCCAACACCACCAGCCTTGAAGCTGAACCATAAGCCCTATCTCTGCCTCTCGCTCTCTCTCTCGCTCGCTCTTTCTGTCTCTCCTCTCTGCCTCTCTCGGTCTCTGAATCTCTCCCTCTCCCGAAGCCCTACATGGCCCTACATGCTAAAGCTCAGAAATACTAGCCGGCGCTGAGTTCCTGAACAGCACTCATCGTTTAGAGAGCCGGCCAAGACCTAACCCCTCAACCCAAAGAATTCTGCCACCGAGGCTGCTCGGAACGTCCTCCTGTGCAGCATGATGATCTAGACCGGTTGGCTTGAGAGGATAGGTTTAGGTTTTGTTCTCTCCTACTTAGCAAGGACGAGGCTCGCATTGCAGGGAAACTTCGAAAGAACAGATGGATACAGCTTGAGGGTTTGGGCTTCAGGGCTTGGGGTTTAGGATTTCGAGCGAGGCTTCGGTGTGTTTCTGTGCATGGTCGGACGGCCACGACTATGCAAACGTTTTTTCGGCATGCGCTGCTCACGCGCCTTAACCGATTCGCGTTGCACTGAACGAGAAACTCCATCTTGGAAGCCTCACACTCGTATGAAACCCGAATTGCATTTGAAACCCGTTGCACAGCCACTAGTCTTCGAAGCGGCGCCCTAACAGGAATCGAACACCCGTAAAAAACAAAACCTGTAGAACCCTTACTGTTGAGCCCAATTGAAACCCTGAACACTGAACCGCACAACCCCAATCCAGACCGCAATAAACCCCTATAACCCTGAACCCTATTGTATACCCTAAACGCAGAACCTGAAACCCTAAACCCAGAACCTTAGATGCTTTTTGAGCGAGGTCTTTCTGAAGTAAGGTCCTAAAAACTTAAACTTATATAAGCCCGGAACCCAGAAGCTTAAATCCCAAACCTTTGACCCAGGGCAACGCTATTTCAACCCTTTCAAGAGCCCTACAGCTTCTCTAAAACTGAAACCCTTCTTCAATTCAACTCTGTAAGCGCCCCAAAGAACCCTAAATCCTAAACCTTTAAAAAAGCAAAGAAGCCCTAGTTAAACCCAAGAGCCAGATGCTTAGTGTACCCTTTTTAACCACAACATGTTTTCCTAGCTAAACCTTAAAGAGCCCCCAACAAATCATCTAATCCTTGAAAAAATTTACATAACCTTCATGTGGGAGTCTTTCAAGAGCCGACCTGCACCACGAGGTCGAGACCCCCTCGGGAGCCCTCGGAGGAGGAGTTCTGGGAATCCACGAACTCTGCCGATCCCGCCGGCTTCCTCAGCTCCGGGCTTTTTATTCCGAAAGCCTTAAGGGTTTAGGGTTTAGGGTTTTTAGGGCTTTTAGGGCTTATAGGGATTTTAGAGCTTAGGGTGTCTCAGCTTAGGGGTTTTTATCCTCTCGCTCAGCTTTGGGCTCACAGGGTTTTAAGGTAGGCTTTAGGATTTAGGGCTTTAGGGCCTAGCAGACCTTTCTGCAGTGTTTCTTTGTTTTGAGGAGGCCTACGGGCTACAGAACCAACCTAGGAGCCCACCTAGGGCACCTGGCCGATGAAAGGCAGGGGTTGAGGATTGACCGAAGTTATTGAAACACCCATCGGTTTGCAGTGCCTGGCTTGTAGCTGTACATCATGTCCCCGTACCTTCTAGGGGCGTATTGGAGGTTTAGGTTTCAGAAACCCTCAACCCTAAAAAGCCTTAGAAACCCTAAAAATTCTGAAAACCCTAATAAACCCCAAAAGCCCGGCACTTCCAACCCGCAATGCTCCGAGCTGCGATGAGAGGTCTGTGAAGCTGCGTGCAGGCAGCGACGCTCTGCGGCCGGGGAATGTCGAAACCTTGAGGGTTAAGGTTCCCTAGGGCTTCGGTAACCCAAATAGTAGGTTACGGTGGTATAACATATATGGCTACCTGGACCCCAGAAGTATGTAGAATAATAGCCTTTTATACGCTTTGGGCCATTATTTTACCTACTTTGGGGCGTCTAGGTAGTAACCTACTATTTAGGTAACTGGAGCCCTAGGGCTTTTTTTTGACGCTCACACGCGGCAATACCAGGCGAGGTCTGAAAGAGAGACTGGAGGTTGAAGGCGGTTTAGGGTTTAAGGTTAGGGAGGTTTAAGGTTTACCTGTAGTCTCCATTGTAGTTCCTTTTTTGGGTTACCTTATAGGATCCTTAATATATAATTGGTTAAACCCAAAAAAGGAACTACAACGGAGACTACAGGTAGGGTTTAAGGCTTAGTGTTTGGGGTCTCAACGTCTCGAAGTTGAAGTGGGTTGATTTATATGTGGAGCCTCTCATTACTTCCACCGCTTCCCTTAACAAGGACGGCAGTAGAGATCCAAGCCTGAAAGCTCACAGAGGCATTTGCTCATGAATTTGCAATCTACCTTGCGGTTTAGGGTGTGTTTTGGGCTAGGGTGTGCGCCAAGAGTCAGGCATCTCAAGCTATATAGGTTACTTGGGGTTCTAGGCATTCTCTGCCTAGGGGTCTTAGGGGCGGTGGAAATCGCCGAGCTTTCCACGCCAGCTTCTGGAGTATACTTTTAAAAGCCAATCGGTAAACTCTCAATCCCCCTCTACTTCAACTATGAGAGCCCTTCCCTGATAAAAGCATCAGCTACTCTCATAAGGAGCCCTCAGATATGTTCAGGGTTGCGATGCAGGGCGCGGTTCTAACGTACGTGTGGGCTCAGCCTTAGCTGCTTGCATCGTTCTGCCCCAAGCAGTATTTCGAAGCTTCCAGGGACCCAAAAGGGCTCCTCTCAAGGCTCTGTAGGGTTTCATTTAAGGGCTCTAGGGCCCTAAACTATAAGGCCTTGGGAAGCACAGGGTATAGAGTCTAAACTCCTAGCCACGATATTCTGAACATTACGCCTGGGGAAGAAAAAGTGCAGGCCTTGGGATTCTGAAGGCTACGAACATCCTCTACTTGGGGCTATTTGGAGCCCACCACCCAAAACCCGAAACACGAAACTGAAAGCCAGCACCATAAACCCCCGAACAGCTCTAGACCCTAAGCAACCCCCAAACTACTGCAAGCAAGGCGCCCGTACCCTGAAGCATGCCATCACCCAGCAACTAAACCCAGAATCATGTACGCAAAATCCCGACGAAAGGCTGGCCCTGAACCTAGACCCCACAGTTTTAAGGGCCGCCGAGCCAAAAGTTGAACTACCAAAGCATAAACCCGACAGTCCTTTAAAGGAGACATTACAGGAGCCCTTAAAGGAGCCCTTAAGAAAACCCTCGAAGGCCCTGAGCCAGCTGGCTAAGGCTTGTTGGAGCCCGGGGCTTTCCAATAAGCGTGGGCTGATATACCTCGGACAGGACAGCAAGTTTAGGGTCAAGGATTCAGTGTTTAGGGTTTAGGGGCTCAGGATTTGGGGTTTAAGGGACTAGTGGTTTAGGGTTCAGGGGTTGGGGTTTAGGTTTGTTTTAGGGGTTTGCGAGTTTGGGGCTTAGGGTTAAGAGTTAAGGGTTTAGGGTCCACAGCATCCAGTGGGGTTGCTTCATCAGACATTCGCGGCCCTATACAGGGACTCGCATGGAGGCAGTCTAGGCTTGAACGCGGGTCGTTGGGAATCTAGTGAGTCGAGGCTAAAGTGGCTCTAGGGCTGTAGGTTGACTCCTTTTGGAGTTGCTGTTTGGCTCCTGCCTCCAGACATCTCCAGATGCCGCAGCAGTTTACGACTTAGCTTTTGTATTACTATAGTTCCGACTTAGTGAAAGCCATGACTGCACACTCACCAAAATTCAATAGGACAATAGGAATCCTGAATGCACGGTACCCATAGGCTCCATAGTAGTTCGCTTTTGGGATTACCTTATTTATAGGAGTCTAAATATGAACCCCCAAAAAAGGAACTACTATGGAGCCTAAGGGTAATTATGATGCACTTGCCAAGTCCCGAGCTGTAGAAATCCTACACCTCACATATGTCCGACGTGAAAGCGACACTGCTCCCGATCTCCCTCACTCGAGCTTTCAACTCCAAAAAAGCCCAGAGTCCGGGATCCCGTAAGGGTTTTTTAAGTGCAATGCACAAGGGGTATAGGGTGTAGGGTTTAGGGCCGTTTAGGGTTTAGGTGGGGGGGGGCTTTCGAGTTTAGCGAACTTTGTGCGGTTGAGCGTCTGCGGGGCAGTAGTTCAAGCGCCCCCAGCTTTCCCCCCTAACAATAAGACAAAAAGATACCTAAGGGAAATCGACACATGTTTCGACTTTGAATGACCTAAAGGTAACCCTAAAGCCTGAACCCTAATAGGGACCCGTAGTATAGGAACTTTGATGTGGCATATTGGAGTCTGCGGGAACTGTCATCGCAACTATCCCAGCTCATCCTCCAACCCAATCCCAGGTGGGATTGCAGAAATGCCTTAGGCTACCATAACATACTCTTCTGTAGGTTCTCATTGTAAACCCGAATAGAGAAACTATTAAACAAGCAGATGCTGATAGTTGTAGGTCCCAGAACAAGACGCAGCATATGACGTTGGGAATATTCCTTGTATGTTGAGGTATTGGGGCCTGGCTCTTGCGGAAGCCGAGGCGACCACACGATGCAACCTCATGTAAACTATGGGCAAACAAATCTCACAAACAAAATTCCGGATCCCCACATCAACGCCGAAAAGACCCAAGCCCCGAAATACTGTAAACCCAAGAACCCCTGTCCAAGCCGACGGGCTTGCCAGACATCTGTCTGGACAGCCCAGAACTCATCTCGCCCGTACTTTGGCCTCCCGACGGCAACCGTTTTGGGTCCGTTATAAATATAATTCAACCCCAAAAAGTTGGACACCGGATCAAGGCGAAATAGTGCTGGGATTCCCTGTACATTGCTCTTAAGGATTGAGGCTATTGGGTTTCCATTTCTAGGCTGTAACTGTATACTTAACTAGTGATTCAGGGGTGGAGGCATCGGCCTAAACCCGAAATCCCAAACCGATCGGGCTTAAGATCGAGCTGTAAGAGTCTTTGGCTACCCCATCGCAAGCCATAGCGAGCCCCACCTGGGGTACCCATGAAATGCGCCGACTCGCCGGCACAATATCCCGAGGATGCCCTTCCTTGGCTTCCCGGAGACAAGTATAATTCCTTAAGAAATATGCCATAGTACGTGGGATCCATCATATGATTTAAGGTATATTCCTTAATGAAGGGATATTGGAGTCTCTGGGTTCGGCGCCCATGACCGATCCGAAGGTTTGTGCTGAAACATACCTGGTTGGTTGAACGCTCCGCGACCGAAACCCTGAAGCTGCAAGTACAATGGCTATATACGAGAAAGCACGAAGCCAAAATCAAGCTCGGAGGCCGGGGTTTGGGGTTTTTTCTGGCAACCCCTGTAACAGCAACGGCAAAAATATTGCTTCGGGCTCACAGGCATCATGGCCTTAACATGTGGGAATAAGATCAAAATGGATCAACCCCTTCGGGTCTCTGATTTGAGATCTCTCGCTGGACATCGCGGACAAACGCATGGCATAGTAGGAAAGGACTTATCCAATCTGAGAGAAACATACGAAGGCAAGCACATCGGCTTGCGGGTATGGCTATCTTCTGCTGCATATCTATGTAAATGTATATGTATGTATGCATGTATGTATGTCCGTCTGTCTGTCTGTATGTATGTATGTATGTATGTATGTATGTATGTATATGTATATATATATATATATATGTACGTATATGTATATACATATTATATATGCATTCAGACGAACAAATGAAATTCTGCATGAATGGATGTATGGTCCAATACATGAACGGATGAATGAATTGTTTAAACTAATTACTAGTTGATTAGTTACTTAATTCATCAGTCTATCCATGAGTGCATAAAAGGATGATTGAGTGAGTGAGTGAGTGAATGAATGAAAACGAACAAAGGCTGAATGAATGAATGAATGCATGAAGGTTGTATGTGTATATTATTGTTTCTAGCCAATTAAACCTATAAATGACAAAGTAAGCCGTTTCATAGATTCAGATGTTATGTTCGGGGACTACAAAGTACGAGAGCTACCCCAGATTTTGAAACCCCAGAGTACTTGACCGTAAAGTTGCAAGCTCCCAAATATCAGCTAGTCACGAAAAGTGGCCTACGCAAGTACTGCGCTAAATCCAGGCATCGCATTCTTGGCTCTGAACCCAAAACCTGTGCAGCATCTCGCAGAAACCTGTTTGCACCCTGAACGGGACCTTAAACCTGGAGGCTCCATAATAGTTCCTTTTGGGGGCTAATATTTAGAATCCCAAAAGGTAATCCCAAAAAGACACTACTATGGAGCCTATGGGTAAATCCTAACTTAGGCCAGGGAACTGACCGGCAAGAGAGGCGACTGAGGTTGATTCGACGAGGCAGACGCAGTACCTTCAGCTGCAGCTTCGTGGTGTAAGAGTTCAAGTTGAGGGTAAAGGGGTTAGGGATTAAGGTTTAGGGTTTAGGGTATAAGGGTTTCGGGTTTATTGGGTGTAAGGGTTGGATTTCAATGTTTAGGTGTAAGATGTGAGCTTTAGATGTAGGGCTGTTCTGAAGGGTGTCTGGGTTTGCCACTCCCTAATTAAACATACTTCGACTTCAAGGCCATTAGAGACACCCGTTCTGAAGCTTCCTCAACGCACAAACCCTGAACCCAAGCTGATCATTTGCCGGGGCACGGCCTGGAACGGGCGGCGGCGACGGCTGCGCAGATCCTGAGGCCGTTCGACGTCTTCAGTTTGACTGAGCGCTCGGCGCCTAGACTTTCTTTCCCATACAGCCCGCAGAGGCTAGCTTGATAGGGCCCGTTCTTATGACTTTTTGAAGCTGCGGCAAAGGCAAGTTCTTTAGGGTTAAGGTGGGGCTCAGGATTCAATCAACAATCATGGACTTACTGATGCGCAGCTACGCAGGGGACACCAGGCAACTGCAAATTCTTCAGGCCCCTCTAGTAGCCTAGGGTTCAGCATTTTGGGGGTTTCACAGCTTGGCGCCCCAAGCAACACTGGCTGGCGAAGATTACGAGCTCTAGCATTCAGACCCCTGTCCGGCGAAAGCCCATCAAACTCCATAAATACCGCGAACACAAGACCAGCCTCCCAGACTTTAGCGAATCCAGCGGGACAGCAACCCCACACCTCCGGGTGCCCTTGCCTCCGAACTCCGCGCTCCCTCGGTGGGCAGCGTCGACGCTGCAGCCGTAGAGGAGTTCCTGAAGGCGGGTTTGGAGTGCCCTTATAGTCCCGATTGGACTTTTTGATAGTAGTACAGCACTCCGTTATAGTCCCTCAAAAAGGTATGGTAGTTTCAGCGTCGCAAGGACGAGCCCGCATGACCGGGATTGGCAGGGTGGTTCGGTTTGGGGCTTCGGGTTCATGGAGCTTCGTTGCTTTAGGGTTGGAGTGTTGGGGTTGCCTTAGAGTAACCAAGAGCCAATGTATTAGGGTCACAGATAGCCCTTTTCTAAGGGTACATTGGTTGCGTGCTCTAGCTGTAGTTAAACCAAGTCTGCCTAAGCTTGGCGGATCATTGACCTTCCAGATGGGGACGCAGTAGCAGGGAGAGAAGTCTCAAAACGGTTTCTTAGGCGTCCTCAAAGACAGACCCTGGCAGGGTGAAGCTTCAGAATCAGGTCTCCGGCTGAAGGATGGGGCTGCCGAATTTGGGGGGGGGGGGGGGGGGGTGTGGGGGTCAGGAATCGAGGAATTGGCGTACAAACAAAACTGTATGTATGTATTTCTGTATATACATATATACACATACACATCATGGACAGGTGTGTATATATATATATATATAGAGAGAGAGAGAGAGGAGAGAGAGAGAAGAGAGAGAGGGGAGGGAGAGGGAGAGAGAGAGAGAGAGAGAGAGAGAGAGAGAGAGAGAGAGGGAGAGAGGGAGAGAGAGAAAGAGATAATATCTGGGTCTTCATCAAAGCAGGGCAGCCGGATCACACCGGGTGAAAGCTAACTTCGGCTCACCCTTTTGAGCATGGGCTTGGATCGTGTGCCAGTGAACACTCCTCAACAGCAGGGCCTTCTCGTTTGACGAGGGATGCAAACGTGGGAGTGAGAGAAACACGAGAAGTTAACAGGCGTCGACGATATCCTGAACCATCTTCCGAACTATAGCCTCTAAACTACACATCCGGCATCGGGCAACGTAGAGACTGTAAGTGCTGTCCTAAACCCTAAACACTACAACCCCTGCAGTATCCCCTAAGCACGAGCCACACGAACCCTTGACAGAAAAGCGCTGGGCATCCGACAATCGAGTCTAACTCGGGTGACTCTTCCTGCACAGCTTGGGTTCTGCTGATGCTTTGGGTTGAAGGGGCTCTGGAGGATGGATTTTGTAGGGTTAATAATCATAATCATAATAATACTAATAATAATAATACTAATAATAATCATAATAATAACAGTAATAATAATAATAGTAATAATAATAATAGTAATAATAATAATAGTAATAATAATAATAGTAATAATAATAATAGTAATAATAATAATAATATTTTAAAGTTTAGGGCTCCGGGGCTCCTGAGGTTTCGTTTTACGGGGCGTTTATGCCTGAGGGCTTTACAACCGGGTTCGACGGGGCGCAGCCCGGTACCGGCCGAGATGTAACCCCATATGTAAACAAGGTGTAAACCTAAAAAAACTCTAAACCCTGCATTCTGAACCATAATAATCCCCCAACCCTCAATTTCAACTCCTAGACCCTATACCCTGAATCTTCAATCCTAAACCCTAAATCATAAGACGCCAAAGACCACAAGTCTCTCGGACCCCTGCTTCGTGCGATCGATACCTCGATCCTCTCAACCACAAAGTCGGCAAGCCCCCTAAACTCAAGATGAGGATTTGAGCTATATGGGTAGTTGTCAATATTAGGGTCCCTTTTTCGGGTACCCTAAATATTAGGTGCCGTAATATATTAGGGACCCAAAAAGGGACCATAATTTTGACAACCGCCCATATGGTTTAGGGTTTAGAGTTTGGGGCCAACACTTTGAAACCCGATACAGAATTCTGGCAAGACGGCTTAGAAAGATTTAGGAATTTAGCAACATGGCTGAGAGTTGAGAATTCCATAGGTGATTTGTGGCAAGGACGGATCTAGGAAGAGGAAGTCTGTCCCAAGCCCGAGGGGTTTACATGGATGAACCCCGCGCTTAGAGTTTTCCCTCTAATCTTTAACAGACAGCTCATGTCAACAGAGCCGTGGAGTTTAGGGCTTCGACAGCACATGACCGATAATTTTTGGGCACCAGGTACAGCTGTAGTGAAATACATGGGTGGTTGTCAAAATTGGGCCCCCTTTTTGGGTACCCTAAACATTAGGTGCCGTATTAGAATAAGGACCCAAAAAAGGGACCCTAATTTTGACAACCACCCACATGGCAATGAAATAAAGGCTGGGAGCGCAGCTGGACCCTTTTGGCGGAGTGTCAGCTATCACTTGACAGGACCTACACTCATCGAACAAAGCTTCGCTGACCAATCATCGGATTCCTGACCATGGCTACTGAAAGATAGACAGCACGCGGTTACAAATCAATGCACGCGCAAAAAGTACCGAAACAGTAGCTGATTGAAGTTGCCATCATATGTATATGGCTCAGTAGCATCAGCAGCACCAGCATCATAGGCACCATCATCATCAACCACTACCCGGAAACAGTGAGCTTCTTCGGAACATCGCCGTGTGGAGCCTGCATGGGCAATTCTCCGAATTGGGGGGGGGGGGGGCCTTCTTACCAGGGTGCCGTGCAAAAAGGACCTTCCTTATAATACCCTTCTGGAAACCCCTAGCGATCCCTTTAAGGAACCCTCACAAGGGACCCAAATTGAGAACATTTGAGAACAATCCACCTTGACATCGGGAAACCCTAAACCCAGTATAAACCCAAAACCCTAAACCCTTAAACTCCGGATGATGGCCGCATGGTGGACCTGCCGCCTGCTATCCCGAACCCCTACCATAGAAGTCATAAGAACAATAACAACATAATAACAACAGTGATAACAAGAACTAATGGTCAGAAGAATAAATACGAATGCAAACAAGAACAGTATAAAGGATAAGAGTAATGACAAATAGTTACAATAGGGTCCGTCGGGTTTCCTCCATAAAACCACAGCAGAAATACTCCAACGCCCTGGTTCAAAAAAACGACGTATTACCCGCCCCCTTCTTAAACAGTCACTCCTCCAAGGCCCGCCGGACTCGATCGGAGAAGGTCTCTTCTCGACTGGAGAGGAGTTACTTTTAGGGTCTAGGTTTAGGCATTTGGGGTTCAGGGGTTTTGACACTCACACTCGGACAAGCCTGGCAGGGGTTGAGGGCTTACGGTTTTAGTTTGACAAACGGCCTAGGGTTGATGGCCTTGAGGACCAATATCCGCCCTCAGCCCTTACAAAGTTTTGCTGGAATGTTGCCGAAATCCTAATCCTAGGTTCGGGCCTGAGGAGGTTTACGAGTTTTTCATGCTTCAAACAGCTTGGGAGTTTTCATAGGTTCGAACATCACCCAAGCAAGTCACTCGAGGGCGATAGGTGGGCTTTTGAGGCTTACGTGTTCCCTTTGAGGACGCTCTAAGGGAACTAGCATGGTCTGTGAAGGTTTACTGTTTGGTTTGGTCGCAAGTCTTTGGGAGGGTGGCGAAACCCAGAACATAGGGAGCCCCAACCGTGACAGGATACTTCTTCACTGTTTTCAAACAAGACAAATACACCTCAAACTCCGAATCTAGTTGTTGGACTGTCTGGCAGCTCGGTTTCCATGTGCTGGCTCCAACTGTCTCGCAAAGAGTTTTAGGATAGTCGCTTGCGACCCTTGCCAAGCCGATGGTATACTGAAGACAGCTCAAGAGCCAACAAAGAAGCACACAAGTCATCCTACATCGCAGCAGCAGCCGCTGCACCACCGTCACCAGCAGCATCAGCATCTTCATAGTCAACAGTATTATTACCATCCCAAACGGCGCCGTAAGAACAACTCAAACCCCTCACACTTCCACCTGAAAAAGCACGACGATGAAAGGAGCAGCAGAATCTCTGAAGAATAACGAACCCAAGCAGCACAACCAGTCTCAAACCGCAGATAACTGGGCCAACATCCACTTTTGAAACATGACTATCCAGGAAGGACTACCTGCAAGCCCTGAAACGAAGTTTGCATGTTAAGTCATGCTCGATAGGCGCTATATCTCCGACCGCCCCACCAAACCCCAAAGATCCGCGACTCTAAAAAAAACAAAACCTAGAATCGGAAGCCGGGTGACTCTTCCTGCCGCTGCCGGTTCACGTAGCCTGAGTATCTGTAACGGTGGTACTGGGTCGGCAAGTCTTTCGGCAAAAAAAGGGCTGGGGTTTAAGGATTTCTTTGGGTGCAATATTTATCCTGTGAACAACCCACGGTTGGTACTTGAAAGCTCGGGAACCCATCAACTGGCTTGAGTCTTGAGCCCACGATGACGAAAAATCAGGAATCCAACCACTGGAAGTTCTCCAAACGGTCAGACGAGTTCCCCTTTGTGACAGTCGCCGATTGCTAGCCAAGAGTAGCCAAAAACCCACCGAAAAGAACAAGACCTAGCTTCGCCAATGAAGGGTGTCGCGATACCCAGGATCCGACGATACCACAACAAAAGGTTGAAGGTTACCTACTCTACGAGTAGGGGATCTACATCTGGGTCCCGTCTTCCAAATCCCCCCTGTCCGATCCAGCAGCGAATCTTCGCTTCGTGGTACGCATCTTCCACGATACTGATGTTAACATTCAGGATCACCTTGATTTCGGGTTTCGACTCGAACACTCGCACAATGCAGGCACGGCTTCAGAGGATCTAGGGCTTAGAGGTTTAGGGCTTAGGGGTGTAGATCACCTTAACGAGAAATCATTCTTCCCACCCCGCTCGCGTGGGCTCGGGTGCAGCCTGCGGGACGTGAGACCTGGAACGTGCTGCTCAACCCTCAGCCAGGCCGTAAACCCGTTCTTTCGCGAAGCCACAACTATAACACTGGAGCCGCAAACGCCGAGTGAATTTCAATCAGAAGCTTCAAACTTAGGCACTCCCACAGAGAGGAAGAGAGAGTAATTTCTATATCTATATATATATATATCTCTCTCTCTATATATATATATATATATATATACGCGCACACACACATAATAAACCCCAAACAGTTGGAAACTCCCCAAACAGTTGGAAACCGGATTAAGGACACTTAGTGCCGGGTTTCTGTTTCCCTTTACATTTTTCATTTTCTTAAGGATTAAGGCTGTCGGGTTTCCAACTTTTTGCCCTCTACTGTATGTATAAATATATACGTATATATATATATGTATATATATATATATATGTATAATACTAGTTTGTGGCCTAGGTCCGTAATCTAGGGTTCCGAGCTTTTCGGGACATATTACTGGTTGAACAGGAAACAATAATACAACTACCCCGAAACCCAAAAACCCTGACAGAGCGAGAGAGAGAGAGAGAGAGACAGAGTAGTGTATACATGCATAATAGGCGCCGGTAGCACCAAGTCCATCTAGGCTTCTGAGTTTATCGGGTCATAATTAATGGTTGAGCAGGAAACAATCACATAAATATATCTCTAAACCCAAAGCCCTAACAGTAATGTAACCGTATGTCAATGACCTTTTTCCTTGACAAAAAGCCAGCTTTCGCGGCCACTTTACTCAGGGCTCTAGCTTCGCAACAACATGGAGTCTGACAAACACTCGGCGGTCGACTAACCCCAGTACAGTACGTGCTTCGATGCCGGAGATTGGAAATTGAGGCTTTCGGGATTTGGAGTTTCGACTCGTGAAGTTTTGGTTGGGGCAGGGGTTGGGATTTGAGTCTAGAGTCTAGCCTGTCTGGGGTCGAGGGTTAAGTTTTCTCTCTTTGGGGTTTGAGACTCCTCGAAGCGCTTGATTGCGGCAGAGTGTCATAGATCGCGAAGAAGATGAAGATGTACAGGTAAGCCTCCGAGAGCGACCCGGGTTTTCTTTAGGGCTATGTGATGCGGATTTAAGGTGTCCTACTTGTCGGGTATCATGGGGAACCAGAGGTTAACCTTGTTGGTTCTATATAGGGACTATATTATATAGGGACCATACTACCCAAAAAAGTTGAAGGTTACCTACTACTAGGGTGTAGTTTGGGATTCCGACTCGCGCCCTCAGCATTGCCAGGCCTACAGAATCCGAAACTTAGGCCCTAAGCCTTTGTTTGGTTGGCAAGGGCAGCGCTCATTGGGGGATTCTGCTAGAAGCCGTCTCAAACTGAAGCCCGGGTGGACGGGGCGAAGCAGTTAGTTTAGGGTTTAGCGTTTAAGCTTTGTGGGGAATGAGGCGTTTGTCACTTGTCTGGTATCCTGTGGCGTGGAGCCTAGTGACTAGTGCTTGTCAGTGAGTTTAATGAAATCATGTTAGTGCTTTGAGTATTGTGGTGATTTGGGAGGAACTGCGCTGCGCTCTCCGCCGTCCAGTGGCCCAACATCGGGAACTCAGAATCCAAAACTCTCAACTCTGCAATCGTAAGGCCAGAATCACCTTGACAGCAAGAACAAGCACAACAGCCGAATCCGACCAAGAACAAGACAGCCACAGCTCACAGCCAAATAGCCTGGAGCAGGAAGCCACCAACGGAGCGGATTTCCCCTAAGTCTGAGGGGTTTTGTAATCGATGAGGGCCTAATCTCAACACCCTAAAACCGTAAACCGCCGGTCTGTCGGTTTCTGCGACTTCCCAGGTCAATCTGGTCCTTTGGAGCCGTTCCAAGTTGTCGTTCAGTCTTCCACATGAGAACCAACCGATACATGTGTGCCATATGTGTATGAATGTGTGTATGTATGTACAATGATATGTACATATATGTATATTACCTGAGTTATGCGTATATATAAGCAGGGATCTCCGCAAGTGGCGGTTATCCATAGCGGTCTCTCAGGTTCTAGTTGGGCCGTTGACTGCTTGAGCCGCCCCTGTTGCGAGGTAGATTGGTTGGAAGGATTCAAACCCTTAGCCCGAAACCAAGGGAGGGTCTAGTCTAGGCTCGAAAAGTGTACAGCATCATGAGGGTGGTTGTCAAAATTATGGTCCCTTTGTGGGTCCCTATTACCTAATATTTAGGGTACCCAAAAGGGACCCTAATTTTGACAACTACCAAATGGTACCAGGATCGGGGCAATCTCGATCTGATGGACTGTCGCAAAGTTTGAGACATCTAAAACCTATAGCACATGTAGTCTCCCTGGTGAGTAGTCCCAATAACCCATTCCCCCACATTCCGCACTAAGAAGCCATTCAGTTAATTCGGTGCCCCGCGTGTGTCTACCATGGCTGGGCTCTAGACCTCCAAACCCTTTTGCGGCAGGCTTCTCTCGCCCGGAGCAGCCAAAAACCTCATCCCTAAACCCGAAACCGTCATCCCTAAATCGAAACCCTCATCCCCAAAACCCGAGACCCTCATCCCTAAACCCGAAACACGAATCCCTAAAACCACCTAGCTTGCATGGTCAAGATTCGGAAGGCTTCGTGGACGGAATCGCCATTCCTGGGAGGGATCAAAGAGGGACCTTGATCGCTGGAGTGGTTCTCCCTCACAGTAGAAGGGTTTAGGGTTTAGGGTTTAGGGGTTTAGGGGTTTAGGGGTTTAGGGTTTAGGGTTTCCAAAAAGTTGGAAACCCAATAGCCTCAATCCTTAAGAGTAATGCACAGGGAATCCCAGCACTATTTGGCCTTAACCCGTTTCCAACTTTATGGGGTTTGCTGTATGCGTTCTCTAGAAAGGGCTGCAGGGGAAGGGTTTTACGATCGAGTGTTTAGTACAGGGGCCTAGAGTAGGGTCCACGTGAGTACTTTATACAGCAGTAGTAGCAGTAGTAGCAGCAGTAGTAGCAGCAGTAGTAGTAGTAGTAGCAGTAGCAGTAGTAGTAGTAGTAGTAGTAGTAGTAGTAGTAGTAGTAGTAGTAGTAGTAGTAGTGCAAGCAGCAGCAGCAGTAGCAGTAATTAGTCGTGGTAGTAGTGGTAGGAGCAGCAGCAGGTTTGGGTGTCAGCCTGAGCCCTGAATCATCCTGAATCCTACATTCCTCGGCCCCCGAACCTAAAAGGCCCTCCGAAAACCCTAAAGTCTGAACCCCAGGTCTTGATCCCATTACACATGGGCCTATAAGCCCTACAACTCGAGCTGAAGCCCTGAAGCCCAGTTATACAGCCCAGACCCCTCAACCCTAAAACTCCTAAACCAAGATCCCAGGCCCTAAAGCCAAACGCCTGCTTTTCTGAAGCCAGAGGGCATCAAGGAGAACAACATCTCAGCAGCGCAGGTTGGGTCCGCAAACATGGAGGACTTCCTTGGAGGCTTACAAGGGCCTACATAGGGTTTATAGTTTAGTTTCTTGATGGGCTATGGGCTATGGGTTCAGGGCCTTTTGGGTTTACGGTAGGGTTTAATGGCTTAGGCTTTACGGGATGAGCCTTGGAGTGTTTCTAGGGTATAGGACCCTAGGTGAGGTCAATGTACGGTACTGGGTCCGGCGTTTAAGTGAGGCTGGGGTTTAGTGTTGGCATTGCATTAGGGCATATAGGAGAACCTCGGCGGTTTTGCAAAATCATTCGTTCATGTATCTGTTTATCAAATGCTCTGGTCTTATATGAGAGTCAATGCAGATTTGCCATTGCATGCAGTTGTTGGCTGACGATCGCGTGCGAGGGCTTCGGATAAACGGGAGTGATGAAAAACTCCTCGGTCGGGGGGCGCTCATGACAGCGCCCCAATATGCCCGCATGCGACTGAGCTACTTGACCGAAAAGTCAAACCAAGCCGCCAGAAGAGGCAGACCCCCAGGAGGATAAAGGCAAAGAAGAACCTCGCTCGTTCGGTGTCCCGAGGCAGCTTGGGTAGGAACAATGGCTCAAGCCCTCCATGAGGGCTGAAGGTAGAGGGCACCCGAGTGCAGAGTTCATGGGTTTTGGGTGCAGGCACACCTTTTGGAGTTGGGCTTGGGGCACGAGTGATTTGTTGCGCCGACCCTAACAAGTTTTGTTTTGCCTTGGGCCCCCTACTCCGAACATCGGATCCTGCAGTTACAATGCAGATGAGCTTCCTGCTGTAATTAGGGGCTTAATAAGCAGAATTGGGTTTTGGTGGTCCATTTTAATTATAGAATGATATACCCCCCAAACCCTTTGTTCTGATTATTAAGACCCCCTAAACCCTAAACCCTAAACCCTACCTAAACCCTACATTGCGCTTTCGAGGTCGGTTGTCCAGAGAGAGGGAACATCGCGTCACCAGGTCTCAGGAGCGCGGTTACCTACACAGTCGGCTCTATGGTTTGAAGCGGACGTCTTGTATACATGTACATGTATATCTGTGCCTCTATATATATATAATTATAAATATAAATATAAATATATATATATATATATATATATATAGAGAGAGAGAGAGACAGATAGAGAGAGCTGGATAGATAGATACATAGATAGATTGTTGGTTGGGCTTTTGGGTATTACTCTTCAGGGTCTCTTCTCTAAAAAAGATGTCATCGATGTCGCGGGGCGGTGCCACAGAGAAGAACAGCTGCAGAATACGAATGCCGCTGCGTGCAATGGTGTGGAAGGCGATGAAATAGCCTGACCGCGATAAGGAGGCTAAACCTCAAGCCCGCCTCCTATGAAGCATAAGGCTACTATCCCTATGCACCCAAAGTAGTTGGTTAAGATGGCAAACCATGTTGCAGGAAGCCCTTTCAAGCCTAAATTCTTGAGCGGGGTAGCAGTACCTGGCAACTTGGATTCCAATCTATTCCCCCAACAGCATGACCACAAGCATGCATGCACCGAGCAGAGCAGTGCCTCTTATGCTTAGGGTGTGTACCCAGGTACCGTGGTTTCTGAAGCTCCTATTATACACATGGCTGACAGAGGCCGCTTCGGATTCTTGATGCAATAGAACGTCGAAGATTTCAGACAACACAAGAATCCTTCGAGATTCCTAACATTAATTAAGAAACATATGGGTGTTTGTCAAAATTATGGCCCCTTTGTGGGTCCCTGATATAGTACGGCACCTGATACTTAGAGTACCCCAAAAAGGGGCCATTAATGTTGACAACCACCCATATCTCTAGCAGTGTTTGAAGATGCCAGCTGGCGCGACAGTTGAGCAGCTTGTTGTGCCGCACAAGCTTCCAAGTTGTAAGCCCAAAAGACATGCAAGAGACCTTCACCCTTAAGATCTCTAAGCCGGAGGCCTAAACTGCCTAAACCCTAAACACCCATGCACTAACAACGAAGCTCTTCGGCTCCCAGCACATATGACCGCAGAAGCCCAACAAAAGCAAAAACCGAAGACTCCCAGAGACTCCACCCCAACACCCCTCCACAAAAAATGACACACACACACACACACAAGAAACAACAAAAAAAACACGCATCAGGCCCAGTAGCTTGGGAAGCTCTCGAAGTACTGGATCATGTTCCTGGCAGCATTCTGCTCTGCCCTTCTCTAGGAAACTAAGAAAAAAGAAAAGAGTCATGGCCGGCACGGGTATGTAGGTACTTGAGAGCTTTCAGGGGTTGCTCTAGCAGCTCCAAGCAGGATCAAGACCTATGGGGAGATTTCTCCAGTTCTCTCTTCCCCACATCCTTTCCCGAGGGAAGCAAGGGTATCGTGGGATTCGAGGAAAGATAGGACGGACTTGAGCCAAATCCCGTTGGTGAATCCTACGGGCGACGACTGAGGCTCGTCAAAGCTCGAAGAGCAACCAATCGCTCGCCTGAATGTGTCGGTGACCTCAACGCTAGGCATTCTTAGACCCATGAACCCTCAACAGGGGAGTCGAAGGTTCAGCGGCAAGGCCGCAAGCCTAAACATTCCAAGACTCTGAAATGCCAACTGAGGCAAGCTATGGGGAAGCCATGCGTGTTTCGGCAATCAGTCGCAAGTCAGGCGGCAGCCACGTGAGGAAGCAGCTGAACCCAACCTTTGTGACAGAATCTGGGGCTCAGGGATCCAGGGTCCAGGGATTTTGTTGAGTTCAAATGAGCCCGATGTCAAGGAGGCCAATACCTCTAGATCCGAGTCATTTCCGACTCTACCGACGTTTCGGCGTTTTACGTCCCTAACAAACCCATAAACAGGCCGAGAACCTTACAATCCCTGCACAACTCTGATAACGGTTGAAGATTTATTTTCCCTCCTACCTAGCAAGGACGAAGCCCTCATCGCAGGGAAGAGGATTTACAGGGTTTAGGGTTTGGGGATGCGTGCACTGAACCAACGTGGCACTTCAGGGACGAAGGTCCTACTTGCGATGGGTCTGGATTCAGGGCGCATGGCCTAGGCTTAGAAAAGTGGTAGCATCAGACGGTTTGGGTTTAGGCTTGGTCATACTAACTGAGGACATCTATTTCTCGATGCAAGCTGGACCAAGAATTCCTTTCTACGCCGTGATTGAACAATACACGGCCCCCTGGTGAGCTCTGCTATTCCATGAAGCCCAACTAGACCGAAACCCCCACAAAGCCCTATAGAAACCGGTTTTGCAACCCTTATCTTACTGAACATCTAACACAGATCTCTCTACAAGATGTATCTAAACCCTTAACCCCATGCGCCGCAACTATCCTCTAATATACCCCAAATGCCCACTATTAAAGGCCAGAAGGACTCTGCTAGTAGACCCCAAACCCATACAAAAAAACTGGACTCATCCGATATACCCCCAAACCCTATTCTAATCTTAAGGCCCCTACCCTACTAGTACTGGACTCATCAGAGGGAGGCCCGGGGACCCACATGAAGCGCTGGCCAATCTCTGGCCGTGCCCGCATGCATTCAATAGCACCAACCTTGCAGTTCAGAGTTTGAGGATTAGTTGCAGGGTGTAGTTAGGGGTTGATAACTATAGGGTTTAAGTTTAGGGCCTTAGGGTTTAGGATGAAGGACTGAATTACAGGGTTTGGGACTTTCGGGTTTAGGGATCTGATGGCGGTTTAGGTTTTCAAGTTCGTAGTGGTCGCGGGGCTTTCAGATGACCCCAAATGCTCTGCAGCACGCAAAGATCCGCAACCCAAAAGCCCTACACCTCGAACCCTTACTTGCGAATGCAATAACCTGCTGCATCAAGGGCTGCGCAGGTTCATAAACCACCTACGTTTGTTTAGGGTTTGGCGCTACATACAGGTAAACCCTATCACCCCAAACTCTCCGCAGCCCCTGAGAAGCTCTGAATCCACAACAAGGCAAGGCTGGGAGCAGCGTCCAGGCTTAGGGCTAAGCATGCTATGTAGGGTTCAGGGCATGCGCCGAAAGGTATACGGCGCTCTCCCAAAGCCTCAATCCTAAACCATGCCCTAAACTAAATTCTCTAGAACTTCTAGGCTCAAACCTGCACCAACAACTCCAAGCCTTAAGTCCTATAAACTTATAAACCTGAACCCGATGCCCCAAACCCTACATCCAAACACGGAGCCCTGCAGTATGACCTCAAATCTCCGACGGTGCGATGTGATCATGGGTGATCCCCAAATGAAGAACCCTTCTACAAGGGATCCTTAAATCCAAAGGACAAGTACCTTCATCCCACCTTTCGAGATAGGAACCCTTAAATTACAGGAACCCTTGCACCGTTTGAGGTCCCACAACACAGGCCAAAGGGCCAGCTGGATGAGATTCGACGCCAGAGCCACAGCCCACCTAAGGATCGTGTGGTTTCTTCAGGCAGCTCGTTTAGGTTTTAGGGCCGCAGGAAGCTCTGGTCCCATAAACCCTGAACTCTAACCATTTCCAACCGTTTAGGGTTTCGGCGCTCGCGCTCGAACAATCCAGGCGAGACGTGTGGTTCGAGGTCTGTTAAGGGAGGCTGTGCTAGCTGACCGTTTAGGGTTTAGGGCCTTAGGGAGCTTAAAACTGTGCTTTTCCAGGCTGACAAAGAAGAGTTTAGAAATCATGGGACATGCTACTGAAGTAATTGCAGAATCAAGAGAGCCCCATGTAGGGCATGGATTTCGAGACCCTCAACATAAACCCTCAACCCGAACCCCTCAACCTTAAACCGTCATAGGTGAGGATTCCCCGGATCCTCCCCTTTACCTTCATTCTTGCTGATAAGTGCCTACAATCAGGGCCCACATACCCCTAAGCCCTCAACCATGACCTTCACCCCTAGACCATCATACCTGGTCCCAAAACCCACCTGTCCAGGACTACAATACCCAATTGCAGGGTACGATGCGAGTCCGAGTCAAGGCAAGAGGCCAAACGGAGAGCATGGAGGCCACATCCTTTCGGCTGCTGGGTTTAGGGGCTACAGCAATTACGGCGTACGAGAGTGGGCATTTAAGGATGGACTGAAGGCAGCCGGGGTGTTCAGGTAGGGCTAGTTGGGGGTTGGGTTTCTGATGGGCTTGGGGTTGCCGTTAGGGTCAGCTTAGCTTTGAAGCCCGAACCGCCGGGATGTCGGTACCAATAGCCGAATAGCCATGAAGAGTATAGCATGCGGGACCTCCAAACTCCACTTGTGGGGCTGAAGGGTTTGGGCTTAAGGAGGGCATGGATTCGAGACTGTCCTGGGGTTGGGGGCTGAATTCATTGGACATGTAAGGTCATACGGTTGATGATCTGAATCTTGCATTACCTTAATGACCCTAAACTATGGGAATTATTGTATATTCCTGATTATGGGTAATGCAGGATTTGTATCATCAACAGTATTAGCATTGAGGGGCTGGGGTGTCTTGATTCAAAGGGCAAAAGGAGGGACCCTTAATGGGGACCCCTACCCCGGAATGGGCTATATACTGGGTATATAATAGCTATATGTATGGTTCAGGGTTGGACAACACTTACGGCGTCAGGGCCGAGCTGTTAGGGTTTGCTTCAAAAGAACACATATACTTGGAGGCCCAGGGGACGTAGTCAGGGTTCTTAAAGGGCTCCTTATAGGGATCTATAGGGCTCCTTCTTTAAGGGATCTATGGGGCTTAGGGTTTAGGGTCTACTTGGAGGCCCAGGAGACTTAGTAAGTAGGTTATAAGTAGGGTCATAATTGGAGTAACTCCGTTTAGGGTACTTGTAACCCCACTTATAACCTACTTACTAAGTCCCCTGAACCTCTAAATAGGCTAGGCTTTTAACTTTTGAAAAAGATAAGGCACGGTGTCACAGGAAATAGATCCGAACTTTCAGGTTTTAATACCAAGCCGGTAGTTGTGTAGAAATGTTGTACTGAGCGAACAGACGGAGAACCTCTGCATGGCATCTGTGCTTTGCTGATTGCTGGACCCTCACCAAGGTGATATGCTCTAGCATATAGAAGCGCTGACAGATCACGTCCGTCCAAGCAACTAACCAATCGACCAACCAAACAAGTCCCAAACCCTGAACACTGGCTCTTTGAATCCCGATATGAAAAGGTCTGGCCGTTGGCTGCGTGCCAAGCCCGTCTCAAAGGAATTAGGGTTTGCAGTGTAAGGACTTGGGATTTAGGCTTATAGGTTGTTGAGGCTAAATTAGAAGAAGATTCAGCGCCCGGGCCGGAGATCAAGAAAGCCCTGCCCTGCCATAATTCCGAGCCCTGACCTTTCATCACCTTTGCGAGATCCGAGCCCAAGCGGTGTTTCCGACTTTGGGTTTAGAAGTTTAGATCTGGGAAGCTTTCAAAGGCCAATCCACCGAAATAGCCATGCCTTTGCTAATGTGATTTAAAGCAAAAACTGTTGAACACAGCCCGGGTCCGCATGGTTATAGACAAAAACCCTAAACCCTAAACTCTAATCCCTAAACCCTGCAACACCCGGGAAGGGGTCTGAAAGAAAGCAGGCTCCAGGATTTTCGGGCTTGCAGCGGGTGAGTTGGACTTCTTCGGCTAAGCTCAGGGCTTAGGGCCCAGGGGTACCCTAAAGCCTATAAACCTTAACCAAGTCCCCGCACCTGAGCCGAAAGCTGTGCCCATGTCTGTGAAGAAGCGCGGAAGGCTCGGATCACTTTGACGCTCCTCTGTGCTTGTTGGGCTTAGGGTTTATTGTGCAGACATTTTCCCTTTTGCCGAGGCAAGTCTTTCGCGTGATGAGGGCCCAAGTACTGGTATGTATGTTGCGTGACCCATAAGACCACAGGGTTTTCATGCGTTGCCGAGGGGTCTGCTGTGTGAAGGAGGGTAATTAGACAGCAGGAAACCACATCGGAAATGTTCGCCAATAATCCTGGCGAGCCTGGTGCAGACAAATTAGTTACGATGGATACTTGACTAGTACGTACATAAATAAACCAAGAAAGAGCTTTGCATATATATATATATATATATATATATTTATTTATTTTTTTATTGTGGATATTTCAGAAAAATCTCATGGCTGTTACAGCAAGTATCGCACAACGCTGGGACACATGTTCCTTCCGATCGTATTCGTGCAGTGTCTAAGCCAATGAACCCAATCAAGGGGCAATGGGTGAATTGCCGTGTTCTCTGGGGCTTAACAAGGTTGAGGATGTGAGCACAACTTGTGTCGAACTTTTGCAAATCCTGCAATGCATCGGATGTGAAGATGGGCTAGCTACACGGAGCTTCAAGAGATAAGTTGCCCAGGAAAACGTAGTAGCTCCTACATTGTCCAAACCCTCAACCCCAGACACCAAAGCCTCTGGGCCCAAAGGGTCCTAAGTACTGTTATATCCTCCCAAATCATAATAACGGTTCCTAATACAGAAAACCTGAATTCTACTATCTATCTATCTATCTATCTATCTATCTATCTATATATATATAAGCATATATAATATAATATAATATAATATAATATAATATAATATAATATAATATAATATAATATAATATGATATAATATGATATATATATATATATATATATATATAGATATAGATATAGGTACTTAGAACCCTTTGGGGAGGGTAGGTACAACGGAGGTCCTGCGGATCTTCCGCCAGATGAGGAACACAGAGATCACCTCGTTTCGAGTTTAGGGTTTTGACACTCACATTCGGACAAGCCTGGTTTACGGCTTAGGGGCTTCGGGTTTAGGAGTTTAGGAGTTTACGCTCTCGCAACTCTGAGTTAGGAGTTTAGAGTTTAGGGTTTAGGGGTCTTGGGGTTTAGGAGTTCGTCTAAAAGCTCGGCGACCTCTTAATTAGTGGGTTCCTCTAGTATTGGGGGTTTTATTGACAGCAACCTATTCCACAGTTAGCAGGGCTTCTAGTATCTGCCACACGCCACCTCAAACGCACAAGCATGAGTTTTGTGGTTTCGAGCTAGTGAACAGGAAGGAGAGAGCGATGACCCATCACAACGGCCTGAGAAGCCAGAAAGCTGTCTCCCAGCTACACTGGTGCAGGGGTGTAGAATCGGGATCAAATCAAAAATGATGCTTCAAGAGACATCTGTGATATGTATAATGTATGCCTGTGTGCCTCCTGCACTTGCAGGCGGCTGTGAACATGAGATGACGCCACTGCTGGTGAAAGCTGCCAAGCACCGACAACAAGCCCCAAACCGCAGACTGCATTGCGTGTGTGATGTTTTGTGAGCTTCCAGAGCCGACCTTCCACAAGTACCCATGGACCAACGCCGACGCCAAAATGATTCTAGAAGGCGATTGCAAACTAGTGTGTATAATTACATGTAACATACGAGTAGCTAGACTAGAGCGACCGACAAACCTATCCAAACCCAGGAAGTACATCTCCCGAATGCAGCTTTCCATCTTGACCCAGAAACCCGGTACCCTGCAAGCACGAAAACCCTGAACCCTAAACCCTAACCCCTAATCCTACACCCCGAACCCTCATCAAAGCCCGAGACCCTTAGGTTCTAATGTAGGGGCCTCAGTAGTTAGAATAAGGATTTCCTGAATATCATTATACTCTAGTATTAGACTCTAATATGCCCCCCACTCCATGCTAATTATTACGACCCCTTTTATACCAGGGGACGGCGAGAGAAGCAACCGAGATGGAGAGGACGTGCAGGTATTGCCACTCCTGCGGGTTTCTGAGATCTGCTTCAGAGACGTCATGGAAGGCTTTGTAAAGCGAGTTACAGTTTCAACAAACAGAGGAACAGGGCCCAGGTGGTGAGGTTTAGGATTCGTGGCTTGGCATGCATAGCGCTTACCAGACTCTAGAGTTTGTGAACCGAGCCTCGTAAATGTCGGTCGATGTCGATCGCATAAGTCACGCGGTGCTGGGTTGCCCGCTTTGGGCTTAAAGGTATTTAAACACTCGGGTTTTCCCGCTTCAGGCCTTTTTCTCGCGGCAAGTTTGATTTCCCTCGTGGGCTTGGGGTGCTACATCTATCTTTATTACTGGGGGTACCTTCTTCAGGGGCTCGTGGTAGGAAAGATACTAGGGTCCATATTGAAGCCCCTCATCTTATGACGTGCCCTGGTCTTGACCGCTGAGCGAATGCTGTCGGGATGGACAGCTGACGTAGACACAATAAGAAGCAACGCTGCTGGAAAGGGCATGGGAGCGTTGGATTGTGCTGAGCACAATAACGAGATCTGAAGCTGGACATTCCTGCTAGTGATAGTACGACCGAGGATGCGAAGAATGAGCCGCAGCAAACCGTAAATCGGCTAGCAAACCGTAAATCGGCCCACTGCTCTAAATAGATCGTCCGAGCTCGCCCCAAACCCTTGTTCAAACCCTGATACAGTGACTGTGCATTGCGCAAAGAGAATCCTATCGCTATTCGCGTGCCCTATAAGCCATTGCCTCCCCCACCCTCCACGGGCGCACCTTTGCTTGGCAATCTGTAGCGGTGACATCCTGCACACTGAACAACCAAGGAAAATACCTTAAATCATACTATGGATCCTACGATAATTTGAGGTATATTCCTTAATCAAGGTATGTTGGAGTCTCTCAGAAGATTTTTTTATGTTTTCGGAGGATGCCATAGCTCCTCCCACCCAACCGACAATGCTTGATGGAGCCCAAGGACCTTCAAGTACTATAGGGGCCTTAATCATTAGAATAGTGTGTTGGCGCATATTATAGTTGTATTAAGGAGCCCTAAGGAATGATATTGGTAACTTTAAGGTTTATGGCCTAAGAGTTTGATAAGCATCGAAGATTGCTCAAGGGTTGCTTGACCGGCACCTGCAGCGGCTGTCGCTGCCCTTCCACCCAAACCCCAACAACCCGGTACCAACCAGGCTCTGAACCATCACACCTCATCCCTCATATACACCCACACCAAAACCTATAAGCAAGCCCCGCAACCGAAACCCTAAACTGCTGCAACTCAGACCTGAAACCTCACCGCCCCAAGCCCAGACCACTCATCTCCAGGCTCAGCCTCTGGACCCCTTGAAACATATTTCAACTGAAAGCCATGGAGTACCCTGCACCCGAGACCTATGAGGGTTCCCCCAAGGGTTTTGATATTAAGGTTGCTGGGTATAAGGGCTCCTGCAAAGGGTTTATGGTGTGGGGGGGGGGGGGGGGGGCTGGACGACTAAATCCAAAACCCTTCAAATAGTATAGAAGCTTAGCCTTCAGTTCTAAACCCTATAAGACCAAAACCCAGCTCTTTACTTCCTTCAGGTCTCAAGAAACGAAAGTACAGAAAATAACTTCGAGAGTGGGCCTTACGAGCTGGTCAAGGGTTTGTGGACTGATGACTACTTCTGCCAATGAATTCTTGGGTTTAGGGTTTAGGGTTTAGGGGTTTAGGGTTTAGGGTAACCGCAAACCCTAGAATAGGCATCTAAGAAATGGCTAGGCCGCCGTTCCCCGATCTCCTAATCACAGCTCTCCCACACATTCACATGGTCGACAACACTTCGCGCGACAAATATAATAAGGAACCGCCAAAATACTATAGGTGATTATTCAAGCCCCTATAGTATGGTCCCGAGCACGAGCGCATGTCATGATGCAAAATACCTTCACTTCTGGAAAAGAACATGTTGTGGAGCGCACCAGAATCGTTCGAAAGTCTCCAGCGTACCAGCCGTCGAACGTCCTGAGGCGAGATGAAGTTGAATCCTAGAGACGACATAGCTAAGCCTGGCTGGAAAATCTAGGGTCCTTGTAATAACCAGAGCAGCCTTATAAGGCATGTTGTAGTATAGCTTTAGTGAGGGACCCAAGGCAAGTAGTAACTGTGGGTCGAAATTCAAATCCCTCTGTGAATTCCTCCTATGTGGTGATCTGAGCAGTCGGTATTCTTGCGGCTTCACGGAGAACTTTGCCAAGAAGTTGGCTCTTCTCAGTGATCGATAGTAAACACGTGACTCACAAACCACGCAAACCCGAAAGCCCCATAAGCCCTTTCCTGCATCCAAAACCTAACCCCTTTTCAGCACGGGCCCTGGGTGTGTGCCAACCCTGGACCCAAACCCTAAACCCTCACAAACCACTCGTTCAGGGAGCAGTCGGGGTCGGCTCTTTAGGTCACCCTCATAAAACGAAGCCTGAAGAGGAGCCTCATTTAGAGAACTGCCCGGAACTACCTATATGCAGTTCCCACTTGGACTGAAGCAACGACTATTACTCGTATGTTGCCAGTGTTGCGATTAGCGATCCGCTGGTCTGAGAAAGCTCTTGTTGCTCCATATTACGACTTATCGGGTCGCTCTTGGCTTTTCGGTTATGTCCAGTTGACAGGCACATTAGTCCATGCAGGCTGCTTGTCAAACCTGATTAAGTTGAGGATCACACTGCATCGAACTTGCTATGGCAACAAGCTCTCAGTTTAGGATAGCTAACCCTGTGTTGGCACCCTGGTAAAGACAAAAGCAGATGCCCTGCATAGCGGGTGTTCTGGCTGTGGGGTCTCAGCTCAAGTCAGGCCCGCGTTTGGTGTCTACTTCTGTCCCTTCGGAAAAATCTGGTGGATTGAGATGTGGATGATGTGGGGATCCTGCCGACTCCTCTCGTAGAAAATTGGGTCTCGAATTCCAAGCTTAGGCTTCGGAGGTCTAGGAGGAGCATTCGCAACACCAGCCTCTTCTTCACGTGTTCGTACATATCCATGTAATGACCATGATGCACAGGAGTTCTAAACAGAAGGAGGGGCGGAGCCCACAATCTTCTTCGAAGTCCTGTTCGAAGGTCAGGGCTACTGTGGTCGCAGGGTATAACCACGTCACCAGAATTGGAGTTTCGCATCGTGATACCGTCACAAAGCCGCAAAAACATTGATGCACATGGACGTGAATTTGTGCATGTGCGCTTGTGTACATGCGCTACTTCCCACGTGCACCTTGACAGTCGCGCTTGACAGTTATGAAGCGCAACAAAGCAGCAGTGCACGTGAAGTAACATGATGGTCCACAAGTGCCTGCAGCTTCAAGAGTGCGGTGCACAGGCCGCTAACTTATCAGGATCAGCCGAGGATCGTGACAATGTCCCAGCGGTAGATGCACTGAAAGCCTGAGGCTTTGAAGCAATACCCAGTGACCAGCACATCGAAGGCCATAAGCCCTTCGCCGGTTAAGTTGAGTCAACTAAACACTGGTCGTCTTGTTTTGTTCGGCTTAGATGGTGAGACCCCTAACATGGAAATCACACAAGGGTACTGGCTTTGTTTGGGTGGTTACTAATCCAGCTCTATATCTGGCCTTTCCACTGGCGGGATAACCATAGCCCCAAATCCTGAAATGTCAGGCTTTACATAGGGTAGGGCTCATGGTCTAGAGGGACGCCCTAGGAGCTTTAGACTAGGTATCCGCCCTGAAAATTGTTTCAACAAAGCACCCCATACTGCTACTCTGAGCATAACATCAGTTTTCAGGAGTTAGATGCGCGTGTTCGGAAAGCAGCCTCCTAAACCCTTTTGCATCCAGCCTGCAAGGCCTCTGCTGGGAACTAAATGAGCGCCTAGATCAAACCTTAAGCCTCCTAAACCCTAACCCCTAAAACCGCCTCCCAGTGTATCCTCGAATGAGGCTCCACTCGATTAACTACTCTTGTTCGGGTTTCGGCGCTCACACTCGGAAAATCCCGGCGAGGCATATGGTTCGGAGTCTGTTGAGTGAAAGGGATTAGGGTTTAGGGTTGAGAAACTACACAAGGACCAACTGATGGTTTGGTTTGCCCTTGTACCCCCAACCCGTTTAGTAGGGACTGGGGGTATTAGCTGCCTTACCTTTAAGCAGTGGAAGGATTGGTCATTCATTTTCCGTGTATAAACGAAGTCTTTCTTGTATCCTGAAACTGAGGTCAGGACAGTCATCCACCTGAGACAGAAATCTGCTAAGAATGCTTCCAACGACACGCCTTTCCGAGGTTCATACTGCACTAGTTTGTCACAGGTGGGAGAGTTGGAAGTTCCGAGTTATGAACGCCGTCGTTGATGAGATGTGTGGCTAACGACTTACGGATTTTGGGTATCCTACGAGAAGATGACCCCTGACCACATGCAATGCAACAACCTGACCATGTGCCATGCAGTGATGGCCCATGAAGAAGATACAAGAAATGAGGGCTTTGTTGCCACCGCATCGAGTACTGTATGCGAGTTGCAAAATGGTTCCATTCTTGTGTATATAGCAACATCCCAGAACACCATTCCAAAACATGAGCCTTTACAGGGGATTTTTGATGAGATATTCGAACTTCCACAGCAGTTCAGGCCCCTTATGTGAAGCTGGACAAGCCCCAAACCAAGCCCGTGACCCTCTAGATTTACACAGACACACACACACAGACACACAGACACACAAACAAAAACACACAAACACACACACACACACACACACCACACAACCCTAAACCATTCAACACGAGCCATAGCCTGTCACATGCCTCCAACGCTTGTCGTATCATTCTGTGTATACATATATATATATGTAAATATATACATGAGAAATGTATGTCTGTGTGCATGTGTGTATATATATATATATATATATATGCATGTATGTATGCATGCATGTTTGCATGCATGTATGTACGTATTGTGTATGTATACTTGTACATACATTACAGAAACAGACTTGGTTAACTTACAGAACCTAGAAGGACCGAAGAACTCAAAGCCCGAAACCCTGTTTTTTCAGTCAAGGCATGATCCCACCTGCTCAGGGCCGCAAACGTACCCAATCTCATCGAAGCGCTGCTGCGCGCTGAGCTCTCGCAAGAGGGGCCTCGAAAAGCCACATCTTCGTTCCAACAGGCTTTGGGAGTTTAGATGGGTTTGGGGCGTAGGGGCTTTGGGAGTTTACATGGGTTTAGGGTTTAGGGGCTTTGGGAGTTTAGATGGGTTTAGGGGCTTAGGGGCTTTAGGGATTGTTTTCCGACCCGCCTAGCTGGCAGTCTCCTTTGAAGGAATCTTGAAAGCCCCCCGAGGTTTCCCTTCAAAGGCACCCTAACACCCTCAGGGGATGAAGCCCCGGTCTGAAAAATACCCTAGAACTCCAGTCACCCAAACACTGGATCCCTGGCCGACGGGTTCTTTGCTACAGGATGTCGGGTTTATAGGGTTTAGAGATACCGAAATAGTGGGGTGCTGGGTTAACTTCTTCTACTAGTGACCTTCTATGTAGGTAGCTGGTGGACCTAGAGCTTAGACAATCCAAAGACGATCTGACCACCGTTTTCGGATGTCGGGTGCAGCGTCTGAGATCTAGAGATCTGGGGTTTAGAGTCAGAGTGCATTTTCATGTGTCGGCCGCTGGGCACAGCAGGAGGGGGTCCCTGGGTCCCTGACCCAGATAATTATCCCTATAAACCCTAAACTCAAGGCAATGCCGAAAGCACATGCCCGAGCCTTTGCTCAGTATGTCAGGCTTCGGTTCATCCCAAAATGACGATGCCAAGAGTAATTCTATGAGGGAGGGCGTGTCATCCAGAAGCCTCTCTTAGACTCTCTAGACCCTATAGACCGTACCAACCAGACATTGAGACATGTATGCATGCACTCTAAGCCCTGGAACACCGAACACTCACAAAGCTAAGCCTTCAACGCTGACGCATCCCTAGGTTCCTGAGTGGCCCCTTAATAATGGGGGTGCCCTTTTTCCTACTGTTTGGTTTCAATCTGGGAACCCTAAAGACTGAGGGAAAAAGGTACTACTCAGGAACCTAGATCCTGGCCTCCAAAAACTTGTCAACTCGGCCTGCAAACACGAAGCTCAACATCAAACCACCTCTTAATGGTGTATCTAGGAGAGATGGCTCATGGTGGATGTCAGTATACCGTATGCTGGCTAGGTTTAGAATTTCGGGACGGTGATATTGGGGGATGTAGGGGTGTCGGTTGAGGGTGGGGTTTAGGTGTTATAATTAGGATCCAAGACTCCCTAAGCCCTAATCCAGCTGGGCCCGAGGCAACAAATCCAGGTCGTAGATGAAGGGGAAGTGTTCTGAGCGGTCCGAAACCCTAAGGGTCCATGTACCCAACTAGCATATACTTTGGCCCCCAAAGTAACTATATAGGGACTGCTTTGAGGCCAATGTATATACTGTTTGAATACATGGACCCTTGGGGAAACAGAGCGGCAGGGCTCTTGCTTATTCTCTCTCGGTATGCGGTACCCGGTAGCTGTGCCTATCAAACCGCAAGCCCCAAACCCCAAGCCATATGGTACCTGTACGGCCTAAATAAGTAATTAACATCCTAAACCCTAAGCCTCATACCGACTCATACCCGAAGTACCTCAACCCTTAACCCTAATTACCTCCCGAAACAGGGAAACACTCCTCAATAGTCCCTGTAGGATTGTCACCTTGTGTGCTCTACTACCGGTACCGCTCCGTGAGATGCGAGTGTGCCTGCCTTGCCTTGCTATTCTTCATGCTGGTGGCTACGGTGTTGGAAGAGTCGACTGCAACCTCGAAACTCTTAGGGCGTACATGGCTCCGAGACCCAGACATAGAGTGGTCTAGTAATTGGAATTGAGCTTTGGCATTTGGGGGCAGATGTTACTGCCCCAAGCACCCTTAATCTCGCTTGCAACCTGCCACCTGAGACCCTTCGACCCGAAACCCTTAACCCTAAACTCAGACTGCCTGTCAACCCCACAGTACGGTTTAGGATAGGGGGTTTATCTGGAACCTTACAACCTTACAGACTGTTCTTGCTTAGGCCGAGACGCTCACAGCACTTCGATGTAGGATTCTGAGGGTCGGGATTCCCTTTGCTGGTTCATGAACCCTCCTAAACCTGAAGCAATGGACCCTACGGCGCCTAAGCACCCAAGAGCCCGACTTTTCCCCACACCTTCCCACCAAGCCGCCCATGAGGTACGAATCTTGCTGCTTTTGCTTCAGCCATGCTCCTCGTTCAACAGGGATGACCTGCCTGGCAAGAGAGCACAGTCTCTGTCAGCACCACGAAAGTCTTGTCTCAATCAGGACAAACGCGGTGCTATGACTCTTCTGACTACGGTACCGATTCGTCCCAGACCTCCCGAAACTAGGCGAAGATGATGTCACGAGCGCCTTTGGGTCGGGCTGGACCCCTTCTGGAAGCGTCAGGGGTGAGGCTGCCTATAGGGTTTGGGGCCAGAAGGAACGGCAGGCGTCTAGCCGCAGCGCAAACTACGCCGCAGTGGCGTTGTGCCATCTCGAAAGAGAACGTTCACATTGAGGAGGTCCTGACAAAGTCAACTGAGATTGCTATCCTTAACCATCGGGAGCAGGCTGCTGCAAGTACTCTGGGCAGCGTCGTACTACGACTACGATAATGACCATTCCTGTTTAAATAGTGACCACCTTCATCATAAGAGTCAGTGGAAGCCTCATGACTCGAAGCTGTTCAAATGCCGACGTTTTCGCAAGCCCCGTCTGCAGCATGCTGGTCAAGTTAGTCTCGGGGTGCTTAGGGTTTACTTTCAGTTCTCTCCAGGCATAGGTTCGTGGAATCTGTGAAGTTGTGTCTGCCCCCGATTTAGTTGGTCCACATGTATGCAGAGAGAAGTTCTAGGATATCCTGGAGGTGCTTGTCGAAAGTACTACCACTATCCTGTGTAAGGATGACTGGGTTAAGCCCATGGCTGGTTCTCTCTGCAAATGGCCTGCGAAATTGCTAAGAAACCCCGATACGTGGCAGCATGGCTTCTGTATACCACCTGTACAGAGCTTTGGTGCATAATGTCCTGGAGCCTTACTTCGATTTCTAGCACCTTTCACCTCAAGCCCAGCAAACAAAACATGAACTTCTGAAAAACAAGTGACACAACCTGATACCTGAGACATTGGGGTCGTGAAGGAACCGATTGCCAAGAGGGGACACGCTCATGATTGTTGATTGTCTGCATGGCGATGACTCTCATTACTGTTTTAATGATATGTCTCCCACACCCTTAGCTGAGCAGTCGGCATCCTTGTTTCTGTCGCTCGTACTGCGATGGTTCTTTTTCTTTTTTAATCATTGGTATCATTGGTAGTACAATTTCTACCACTACCGCTAGCGCTACCACTACCATTACCATTACCACTACCACCACCACCACCACCACCACCACGACTACTACTACTACTACTACTACTACTACTACTACTACTACTACTACTACTACTACTACTACTACTACTACTACTACTACTACTACTACTACTACTATTATGCTACTGCTACTGCTACTGCTACTGCTACTGCTGCTACCACCACTACTACTACGACGACTACGACTACGACGACGACGACTACTACTACGACGACGACAACGACGACGACGACGACTACTACTACTACTACTACGACTACTACTACGGCTACTTGGACTACTACTACGACTACGACTATGACGACGACGACTACTACTACTCTAGGCTTCTTGTAAGTTTTGTGGGTACTCACACAAGCCTCAACCCTCATTAAACCTTGATCATAAAAAAGATGGCTTGCGTTCGTCCAGGACACGGGGCTCGACAGCTCATATCGCACGATGGAGCGGTTGTTGATCAGGAAATGGTTCGTGATCCTGGTCCACAGTAAGGTTCAGGCTTTGCCAAACCCTAAACCTCCAAAAAACCAAAGGGTGCACTTTCTAATTTGTGGTCCAGATTCAAGGGTTTGCGCATGGTTTAAGCGATTAGGTTAGGTTTGCGCATGGTTTAAGCGATTTGCTTTGGCTTGATTTTAGATCATCGGGTTTATGGTTTTGAGGTCGCTCGATGTGGGCTGTAGGTTTTTGGGCTTTACGTTGCAGGCCCTCAGTCCAAAGTCCAACGTGATTGGGGTTTGGGGTTTGGGTTTCTTACCTTTTTGGTCAGTAGGGAATGGAGGAATGGGGTACAATCATAACTACTAATACTACCATTCTTCCATTCCCTACTTACCAAGAATAAGTTTTGGGTGTCGCGATTGAAGGATCGGGGTATTGAGCGTGGGATTGCCATACGACTAGCGGTTGAGCACTTCACCGCAGGTTGTCAGATTTCCAAGACTTACCCCAAGGGTCCAAAGCTCCTACATAGTAGAAGCTAGGGTTTCCATAGTAGGAATTACTTCTATGATTTGGGGAAATACCCCCCATAACAGAACCTAGGACCCTTTGACTTCGACCATCTGAAGGTAAAGGACCGACCACAGCCACCGCCAGAGCTGTCTATTCTTCTGAAAAGGGCTAAACATTGACAAGCAGCAGCAATGAAGAGGTCTAGATTCTAAAAAAATTGGGGGGGCGGGGAGGCTCCTTCTTATAGTTATGATATCATATCCCCCCTATACCCTATTCTAGTTGTTAAGGCCCTATATTCCCCAACAAATGCGATCATCGATTGAATCACCCACTTAAATCATAAACCCAAGCCGTTCTCTTCGAACTGGAGCCATACAAAAACATCTAATCCCTGAGGCTTGCGGCAACAGATTGAATTGACCCCTCAACGCCCCAAACGCTACGTCTGAATCCCAAAACCCTGACCGATACTCTGTGGCACTGCTGCAACCCAACCCAAAGGGTCCTATGTACCGATATAGTAGAATGTAGGGTTTCCATATTAGGAATTACTATTATGACTTAGGGAAGTATTCCCCATAACAGTACATAGGACCCTTTGGGCAAACTAACTTAAGCCCTTTTGATCCCAGACCCACGAACCCTGAATCCTCAAACCCTGAACCCTGTAAGCCCTAAACTAAACTCTACCGCAGTGCATCCGCGCGTCAAGTTTGCTAAAGCCCTCTGCAGTTCGTCGGGGGAATGGAGTTGGTCTCCATTCCTTTTCGTGGAAACATACTATAGAGGTCGGGCGGCTTAGGGCTTTTTAGAATAGGTTCAATCTTCGGTGGGAGTTTTTGTACAACGAGACTTAACCGTATACTTCCTAAGACTGCAGTTGTGGGCATCGAGGAAATCAGGGCTTTAGGGTTCAGGCTGGGGCCCGGGGGGCTGGAGGGCTTCGGGAGGGGGCTTTGTACGGTTTCGGATTGTGGTTCATCTCTTTTTTTATTTTTTGCAAAAAATCTTTTGCAAAAAATCAAACATGGTGCATCGCGTTGATGAATGTAAAAGGGCAAGCAAACTGCCGCAAACACCAACAATGACGCCTCTCACCGCCCTCTTCCCGTCACTCCCACCATCTCCCACCTCCCAGCATGCGGACCCTAAACCGTGGCTCTAGATCCCTATACAATCGAATCGGCAAGCTCATGACGATTGGATTGACAAGAGCGCGACGATCGGATTCGCAAGGTCGTATCATGCAGCTTGGCGAGAGACAAGAAGCTTGAATCTGGACCGAGGGCACCCTAAACCCCTAAACCCTAAACCCTAAGTCTTGCAGCGGGACATGATGCAGTTGGAACGTGAGTCGTTTCCCAAAGCTCAAGGCACAAAACACGTTGTGTAGGGCTGCTGGGTCTCGGTCAATTTTATTCACTGTTTGAAGGACACTCGCGGACGGAACCTAATTACCGCTACAGCCAAGCGCCGCATCGCCGGAACCCTAAGCTGATTACTACAGGGCTGAAGTCTATCGGAGCCATACCTATAGTCTCCATTGTTCCTTTGTGGGGTTACCTTTTAGGATCCTTTGTATAAAGTTTGTTAAACCAAAAGAAGGAAATACAATGGAGACTATGGGTAAACCCTAAACCCACATTGCCAAGGGAATCCCTAAGCTGCATGCTCACTCTGACCGTTTCTGGGCGCGCGAAAGTGGGCCACCAAAGCCAGATTTTCAAAGAATCACAAGGCTTCCCCTAAACCCTAACCCGTAAAGTAAGGAGATCGCGTCTGCGATGTAGAGTTTAGGGTTTGCGGGCTTTAAGGGTTTAGGGGTTCTCGGGCTGAGGGAATTTGGCAGTGGAGTTGATGAAGTTTTTTCGACTTGTTGAGCTCGAAACCGATGGATGTGGAACGTCTGCAGCAATCCGTGCCGCAAATCAACGGGCATTGGGCCAAGACTCGTGAACATGTGCACCAGGTGCTGGTTGGTCCTGAAGTATGAAGCACATATAATTTGTAACCCTTTTGCCGACAAGTTAGCGCTCACTCTACATGAAGACTTCTCACAACATGTTCAAGCCAAAACACTGCCTATGTGCAGTACCAGTTTGTCCTGCAGAAACTTTTTGGCACTGAACAAATCCTATGCCGTTTTCGATTGCACTCGCGAACCCTACCTATAGTCTCCCTTGTAGCTCCTTTTTTTGGCTTAACCAAATATATAAGTAGGTTCTTATAAGGTAACCCCATAAAGGGACTACAATGGAGACTATAGGTGAACCCCGAGTCTTCAAACCCTTGGGCCGCACTTAACCTGATGTACCTTTTACGTAACTACAGCGACGCATTGCCAGGCCTGAGACATACATGGGAGTTTCGGAAAATAGGGATGTAGAATATAAGGTTCCTTTAAAGGGATCTATAAGGGTTCCTTTAAGGGCTTCTATAATGGTTTAGGGCCAGGGTTTAGGGTTGGGAGTTTCCGAAAATAGGGGACCCTAACATAATACCCTGAATAGTAGGGTCCTTATTATAAGGACCCCAAAATACGGTTCCCCATATTGTCGGAAACTCCCATGTACAAACACAACATGCTGGACATCGGTCTGACGGTAGTTGCAGCGAGTGCCCATTCAGATGGAACTCCCCCCACAACTGAAAAACAGCCTAAACTGCAAATGCTCAACGTCCTCGAGACATGCTCGATGTCGCGCTGGAAGTAGATGACGGCCTCGCTGTCTAGCACAGACCCAGCAAAACCGGAGCTTCCAGCACTAACTGTAAATCACGGAGCAAGGAAGAAGCGTAGCATGGCGCTGGGCGTCATGAATGGTACCAGCAGTGGCGTCGTTGTTGTCGTCATCCATGCCGCAATAGCAAGAGCAGGCCAACTACAGAGGTTTGCCTAGATAGCCGATCCCATCGGTGCCATGGAAAGTCAGCTCGGATACCTGCCGTCATCATCATTATCATCACTGTTCTAGGTGGAAGCACGTGTCACACTCGAGGTCAAGATAGTGGTTCAGCCGGTCGGCTCAGAGCACAAAAGACTCCAGCAAAGACCAAGCAGCAATACTGATCAGATCATTATCATAAGCCCCATTGGAATCGTCAGTACTGTGAGTCGTGTACCTTGGACTGCCGCTCTGAATCCTAAACGCTCCACACAGGTGAGCTATCAGTTCCGGCTTCAAGCTGAATGCTCCTGGCTTGTAGGTCCCGGATGGTCCTGGCGAAGGGGTGTTGAAACCCTAGAAACCCCAACCAAAACTCTAAGCACCGAGAAGCGACCCCGTATACTGGTTATATATATATATATATAGATATATATATATATATATATATATATATATATATATATATGTAGGGCCTGATCCTATATCCCGCGGCCTGCGCAGACCAAGCCGGAACTCCCACCCACAGACTAAAGGCTATCCTACCACCCTACAACCGAAAGACTCGAGCCCCTGCCCCAACCAACCTTCGACCCCACACACCCTAAACCCTAAACCCTATATCAACCCCTACCGCCCCGAGCATCCTTCGTTTTTGTTTTGTTGGTTGCTTTTCCTAAGCCACAAGGTCCGAACCACCTACATAGTACAAATTAAGGTCCACTGTTAGGGATTAGTGGTTACACGTAGGCTCCTATGCAGGGAACTACGTTGTGCCTTGAGTGAGTATCCCCCATGTCGCAACCTGCGCCCCTGAAAATCCATAGGAAAGCCCTACACAACTTAAGGAAGCCGTATTAACCGCCTGGAGAGAGAAGCGTTACAGGAATCCCTGAAGGGAAACCTTGTAGGATGTATGGACCTTGGGGTTTTGCCCCGAAGCGACGCCTGCGACGTGACAGCGATGCTGAGCACGAGGTGTATAAAGAACTTGAACGGGAAGCCTCAGCCCCTAATTCTGCGAAAGTACATGCGAAGTTCTATGTATCCACGTATGCATGTGTGCATGTGTGTATGCGTGTAGGTCTACCTATAGGCGTATGCATATCCATGTGCTGGTACGTCTGTCTATGCGTATTGGTGCGTGAACACGCATGCGAATGGGCATGCATGTATGCTATATGTATCTGACACAGTGTGAACAGAAAACAATATTTACGAATACACGCACGTATACACATCCATTGCATGTTGTCTCATGTTGGGCTCATGTCTGCTTTACACATTTTCTGTGGAGCTTAGTTCGGGGGGTGCTTCACAGGGCCGTAATTACAGTCCATTGGGGAGCTGTGCTGCTCCGGTGGAACACTAGAGTTCGAAGGAGCTGTTGTGCATGCAAGCGATATTTGGCATGATGCTCCGTGTTTCGATGCCCACCATAAAGCACTACCACCGAAGCAGGTAGGCACATAAATTCATAAGTACATATGAATGTATATATATATATATATATATACATACATACATACATACAGATGTACATATCTATAGGCATATGCACATATGAAGACACACACTTATTCGACAAAACAAATGAGCAAATGAGTACCTAGACATATGCATATAGGCACGGCCCGTGTATGCGGGGCATCTCAGATTAAACTCGCCTAGTGGTCTGGGATCTAACTTGTCGGGGTTGTATGTCTCTGTTATTGTATTGTATATACTATACTATCATAGCTTGCCATTGTTGTTGTCACCGCGTGCGATTTCGTTGTGCAATTAAGGTACATGGTATTAGATTGCATTTCGTGATGTTACAGGATATGCTGCTCTAGCTTGTTCTGACCGATGTGTAAAATATGAGCCAGGTTATAGACTTACAGATTACAATATGGGCAACCTTCAATCCCAACCATAGGTGACCGAGGTTCAAGACGTAAATCAATCCTGAAATGCTCTAAGGATTAGTATCGTGACACCGACGACAATGGTGTCTGAAGCTTGTATGCAATTAGATTTTGGAGCCTGCGGCTCGCGGATTCTTTAAGATTTTGACGCTTGGGGCTATGGGTTCAACCTCGGTTACCTAATCGTCCGTATCAATGACCACGGTACATCCTAAACCATGAAAGCTAAGCCCCACCCCCGAAATCCTAGACGGCGAAGGTCCTAAGGTGCCCTACACAGCCGTGAGTCCTTAGGATTCAGTCACGTAGTTGCAATTGCCAAGCCTGAACATGCCAGCTTGGTTTCTACACCATACCCCAGGAGTCAAAAAGCCACTCTGTGGGAGAACCCTAAGCCCAACCCTGTTGACTAAACCCAAGCCCACTCCAGCTCAGAGCCGGTAAGAAGACACAGCCATGATGCTACACATGCCATGTATAAGAAGACCCGATGGTGCAGAGTGCCGGTCGACTCAGTTTACTCTACTAAGGGTCGTCCTGTACTTGCAGAGAATGGCTACTGTAAGCCCTAACACCCTGAATCTACCCAAAATGCTGCGCAGGTGACGCTTGTAATGGACCCACTTCTCAAAGGGATTGAGGAAGAGTGTCTCCACCTGGCCGCAATCGAGGTCTCGGGGCTCAGGCTTTTCGGGCTACCCATAGGCTCCATAGTAGTTCCTTTTTGGAGTTCATACTTAGAATCCTAGAAGGTAATCCCAAAAAGCAACTACTATGGAGCCCATGGGTATACATGCAGTTTACATAGGCTTATGGAGTTGGTGATTTCGGCAAATTGGCTGCAGCTGTAAACCCCAGCTGGGTGGACAAAAGTCTCGAACACCGTGCAAGCGGGAATTCTGAAACACCTCCTGCCCTTGGAGTTTGCAACGCAAACTGGGAGTTTCCGAAAACAGGGAACCCTAATATAGTACCTTATTAATAGTGGGATCCTTATTATAAGAACCCCCAAAATAGGGTACCCAAATTTTCGGAAACTCCCAACTAGCTTTGTGCAGTGTATGGCGAACGCACCTTAGAGTCGACAGCCCTTATTCACTTCTTGGTAGCATCCCAGACCTTCCAAAATCCCTTAACTAAGGAATATACCTTAAATTATAGTAGGATCCCTAATATGATTTAAGGTATATTCCTTAATTGAGGGGTTTTGGAAGGTCTGGGCACTTCTTGGTAGCATCAGTTGCCTGTAGCATCTTCGGCCTCGGCCTGCCCTCCACGCAGAGTCCCAAGAAAGTTCATATGTCCCAAGCCCTGATATACCTATAGTATCCATTTTAGTTCCTTTTTTGGGTTACCTTGCACAGGATAATTTAACAAAAAGCTGGTTAAACCCCCCCGAACCCGAAATCCGAAATCCGAGTCCCGGACGATATGCATCTCGCGGCCACCATCGTCTCGTTGGTTGTGGCGACGAGGGCACATGGTGAGGGACGCTTGAAGCGGCCGGGCATGGGACAAAAGTTGAACCCCAAGCCCTACCGCAGCTGCAAGTCTTGGCTGTTAGGAGGCTCGGGTTTAGGGCTATGGCAAACCCATAGTTGGTAACACTGTTGGTCTCAGGGTTCTGGGGTTCTGGCTTCACAAGGGTCTTGTGGGCTACGCTGGCATGTATCCGGCAGCAGTGTATGCCTGAAGGGTATAAGTGTTAGGGCTGAGGGAAGGTACCTGTCGACAAGATCCGATGGGAATGGAGTCTCGTAGCAAAGACCAGTGGGGCTTCAGCCTTCATGATTGCCGGAGATGCAGTGACGTCTGGTTGAAGGGTGTGTGTTGTCCGCTGGCATGCATGTGTGTTGATGCTCTAAAAAGCTCCCAAGCAGAGCCAAGACTTCGCGGTAAAGTCCAGACATCCACAACACACCTCCCTGAAAACTCGGTTCCCCTCTCCACCTATGCCGAAGGCATCTAAGTTCTGAACATCCTGCAGCCGCACACGGAAACTTTATCAAAATCTCTTGTAGTAGCATCCCATTATGCAGTTGTCTGCTATATACTTCAAACTATACTTACGGTGCTATGCACCCAGGCGACAGTTCTCCGATTGTTAAGGCCCCTATAAAACAAGCCTGGTGAGCTGGCCACAGGCAAGCATGCAAGGCATGCTTCTTTCGTGTCTTTCGTGTACCCCTGTGGCAATTCAAGACGGCAATTCAAGACGGTGTAGGGTTTCGGGTTTAGGTCTATAGGGGTTTAGGGATATCGTAGGCATCTCTGGGTCAGTGACAGATGCGCCTCAGGCCTCAAGCGAGGTTCAGAAAATTGAAGTCATGCGTCTGCACTTGGACAGCATAGCACAGAAACACGACCCTCATTAAGTTCACGAGGACAACTGTATAGGTCTTGCGACCTAAAACCTCAAGGCTCAAAATGGCTCAAACCCTATCCCAACCCTTCTTGAAAGTGAACCTACATGGATCCCGCGCTTCGTGGGGTTCGGATACCGCGACAGCCCCTCTGCCGGATGTAAACTGCCCTTTGAAAGCAAGCCTACGACCAAAATCCCAAACCTTCAAGACGCCCAAATAAACCCGAGGGCTCCAGTAACCTAAAAAAATAGGTTATTAGGGTATAAAATGTGTGGTTAGTAGCCTACGATTCAGGTAACTGGAGCCCTAGGGAGAAGTAGGGTCGTTCAGTCATCCTGGGCTGGGCGGAAGCGCCAGACTCTCAGTCTTCACTTGCATCCGAAGCAACCAGAAACCAAGAACACTCTGCAGATTATCTGCTGCAGCCCTAAACCCAAAACCTAAAACTTCGAGCCTCTGGGCCCGAGACTTCCCAGCAGTGAGGCTGGACTCTCGACTAGCATCGGGCCATGGATCCCTTGTGGGCTAAGGACACTTCTGTGAAAGATCGCCTGTGCATCTTAACAGGCCGAGCGTGGATGATTAGCAGGGAGCTTCAGACTGTTGACTTGAACCATCGTTTCAACACGGTAGTCAAAGTCATCCACCTGGAGTCTAAGCACCATGGGAGAGGTGCAATTGTTGATCTGCAGCTCGACAATGCTCTTGTGACCTCCACAACGATCCGAAAGCCGAAGCTTACTGGAGAAGAGGTTTACCTAGACTCTTCTGCGTGCCCCTTCCTGATCCGAGAAGGAGAAGTGTACATGTTGGCAGGAGCGATCTTTGTCAACGATGTCCAAGGCCGGAGAACGCTCAAAATGCCTGCTGTTCAAGAGAAAACTGCCTCCATCCTCTTGCCTACAAGAGCAGATGCCATCGTGAGTGTGGCTGAGCTTTATGCTGGAGGACTCAATGGATACAAGAGGGCGGCTGATATGCTGCCTGCGACCTGCTCCATCCGTGTGGAATATGAGGGCATGTCAGTTGCAACCAGCCTCCTCAACGACCCCAATGCTGTGTTGTTCACCGATCGTGGAGGTAGCCCAAACTTTTCAGTCTTCTGGGGAGAAGTGGCAGATCTACGCTGGACACAGGCTATGCATGACAGCAACGTGGAGATACTCTGCGCGGCACCGCCAGGAGCAGCCTTCCAGGCAGGTGCGGTCTCTGTGGGCTTTGATGATGGCCAAAAGGCTGCTCCGATTTGGCAGTTCTTCTTGATGGCAAGACTGACCCAACGTCGGGCCATTGTGCTGGAGATGCCACCTGCCTTTGGAAGCCATGATGACAAGACCTTGACGGTGGATATCATGAAGTGGGCAGGCTATGTTCTCAAGTGGGAGGGTCACATTGACACGCCAGAGATGATACCGGCCTACCACAAAAAGTTCTTCATGATCTTCTGGAATGGTGCAGACAGCCCCTCAGCACACGTCCCGTTCAAGATGCTACCCCTCGGACAGAGAGGTGAGATGGCTTGCAATGAGGCGATCTGGGATCACATGCCAGCAGACCATCTTTATGCACTACAACTACGAGAGGTTGACTACCCCAAGGTTACAAGCAGGGAGCTCCTGCCCCGAACCCTTCAAGGAAAACCTGGTGCAGCGGTACAGCTCCGAGTGGTGGACCAATCGAGGCCTTTGCCCCCTACGACGACCAGCTACGGCACGATCCTCAGAGCTCCATGGGCTTCTCTGCAAAAGCGTGGCTTGCACTTTCCACTTATTGAGCCTCAGCCGGGACTCCTCCGGCGTTTGTCAAAGTAGGAGATCATCAGATGCCTGGGGTTCCCAGGTGACACGATCCTGCCAGAGCCGGAAGCAGATGCGATGATGTTGATCGGGGAATGTACAACTCCTGCACAGGCCATGCTTGTTTTGGGATCGGTCATTGCCCACAGACAAGAAGCACCAATGGAGGAAGACCATCTGCTTCGCTACCTGGACGAGGGACTCCGGCAGTACAAGGACGGCTGGCTTCCATGGAATGTGGCAGTGCCTTACTGCAGATCTACGTGGTGTATGGTGATGCGTGCGGATGACCCAGGAAGGTCTTCTACGGGCACTTTGGCCAGCAGACTGGCCAGCCTACAGGCGAACCTGGACACCTTGACATATGGATACACCCAGGGAAGGCGTATGCCCCTGTTCTCTGAGGAGATTCGGGTCGAGTATGAGCGCTTCTTTGCACAGGAGCCACCACCTGTCCAGATGACGCACCGCCTGTTTGAGGCCTTCTGTGGCTACCATGACCTGCTGCTGGATGATGATGAGAGCACGGAATCAGTTCACCAGAAGATTGCAGACTTCCTGCTCATCCCGGCTGAGCGCCTGGTTGCTGTTCCGGTCAGGTGCAAGGACCCGAGCATGGCACGGTGGATTGTGGTTGGAGAGGTCATCTCCAGTTCCACCAACAAGGCATTGGTGCTGGTGGATGCAGCCATCCCACAAGCACATTGGTTGCCAGACCCTATCCAGAAGTCGGACCTTGCCACTACCTACCTGGATGCACATGGCTCCTTCCCAGACATTGTCATGCTCAATGGGGAGATTGTTGATGAACTGCAGTGGCCACTACCTGCCCTCAATGGGGACTTCTTCAGACTTCGATGGGACAACCACTCAGACAACGAGTGGCAAGATGTGGATGTGTTCAAACAGTTTGATGAGATCGAGCGAACCCTCCCAGATACACCCCAGCCTGAAGACAATGAGAGCAGCGAAGGAGGACCGGTCACCGACCCTCCTCTGGATGACACGCAGCCGATGACAGACGATGAGGACCGCCCACCACCGGGTGAGGAGGCCACACCTTCGACGGTCGAGCCGCCAGTCCGCGGGATGCCCTTCTCCGAGCCCATGATCTACAAGAGACATTGCACCCAGGAGGCAAAGGACTTGCGAGGCTTGGAGCCTATGCCAGTGCCGGCGACAGCCAACTACAATGCCATTGCGACCCCGGACATGTCCTCTGCGGTCTACTTGGCCTTCCAGAGCCGGGTCCTAGCTGTGGGACAGAATGATGACAGAAGCCTTCAGCAGATTGTCTTGGATGAATGGGGGCTACCTCTTGGATCTACGTACTTCACACTGTTCGGAAGGGTGTTGGCCTCTTCTGCCCTCTGTGCATGTGTCCCAGTTGGGGCCACAGTGGTTGTACGTGGACGCCTTCGAGGAGGAACTCAGAATCCAGTCACCAAGTTACGTGGTTTGCTGGCAGCGAAAGGTGTGCCGGAAGAATCCCTGGACGAACGGATCCGTGAAATCCGTGAGCATGTGGGGGACAAAGGTATCCGTGAAGCATATTCCTCATGGGACCCCTGGGGCAAACTCAAAGCTGCCTGCCCCACCAGATTGGTCAAGGAGTCCGAGGCTAAGCATCGCCCCAAGGCCAAGGAATTGCAGAAGGACGTTGGCCCCGATCCTCTGATGACGTCGGATCCGTGGATGCAAGCCCTGCAGGACAAAGGATCGTGGAAGTTGGAATGCTCCTTCTTTCAGATGGAAGATGGGTCCACCCCACAGGCTTTGACAAAGATTTCACATGGATCTGTCGGGATTGCCCTGGTCACGGAAAGGGAGGCGGAATTGCTGCTACAGAACCAAGAGACGATGTCCTCTGGGGAACTTGCAGCGATCGTTGTGGGATCATCTTTCCTCAATGCGGGGAGCTTTGACATGCAGCAGGTTGAAGTTCCATGTCGGAATGCCCAAGATGCCAGAATTTTGGTGCGAGCACAGATGATCAACTTTGGAGCCAAAAAGGTGACCCTTGCTGGTGAATCCTCCAGGATCAAGGTGGATGAACTTGAGGCGGTGGTGTTAGCTTGCGAGATGGTCCAGAAGGAGATTCCTGAATGGGATGAGGTTGCAGATGCCCCGCTGAAGTTCCTCAAGTCGAGGATCCCGACCTTGGAGGAGGCCCTCTTCGCGACCTGGGGTCGCCGATGCTTTGCTGCTGGCAAACCCACCACGGATGCCAGGGCGGCCCAGACTATGTTTGTCATGCTCCGCATCAAGAAGCAGTACAAGGAGGCAATCTTGAAGTCGGTCTGTGAGGGAATCTACTTCTCCCCAAGGTCAGAGGATGGCGCGCCAGACCATACATACAAGGTGGTGTGGTTCCAGGACAAGCCATTGGCTGAGGTGTTGGTCAAAGCCAACACAGAACCTACTGCGATGGGATTGGTCAGAAACAAGACGGGCTTTGGCATTCGTGTCAAAGCGTCGGAGTTTACGAAGCTCAAGCAGAAATGGGTTCCAGCCTGGAAGCCTCTGGCCAACACGCCTTATGACCTCAAGATCCAGAAGCACTTTGACCTGCAAAACATGCCTCTCTGCTGCTCCAAAGCGGAAGTGCAGAAGTTCATCAATGACATCAAGTGGGAGGCTCTGGTCATCAAGCAGCTACACCCACGAACATGGTTGGTGGGAGCAGAGCAACAGCCGGAGAACCTTGTGCACCTGGCTTCCCATGGGACTGTGCTAATTACAGAAAGGACTGACAAGGGCAAGGGCAAAGCTGCAGGCAAAGGTAAATCCAAAACCTTTGCCAAAGGAGCCAACCCATGGATTGTTGCAAGTTCTTCTGTTTTCATGCCGGACCAAACAACGGCCAGACCTACCCCGGGTGCACAGTTTGCGATGCAAGTGGACTCCGACTCGACTGCCTCGGATCTGGAAGACCGAATCCAGAAGAAGCTGGATCAGCTTCACAAGGAGCAGCAATCTTCTTATGCCATGCTCAAGGAAGACCTCGATGGGTTCAAGAAGGAGGTTGTTGCCACCAACCAGAAGCAGGAGAAGATCAACAACGAGCTTGCTACGGGCATCTCCAGTATCACGGCCACTATCACTGCACAGCTCATGCAGCATACAGCTTCGATTACATCGGCGCTAGATGGGCACCGGGCCGACATTGCCAAGGACTTGACCACCTCCCAGGCAAGCCTCAAGGATGAACTCATGGTGGAGGTCCGGAGCCAGATTGGTACGATGCGGAAAAGGATTCCCTCCCCAACCAAGGAGAAGGAGGCCGATGGAAAGAAGCCCAAGCAGTGACATGTACAAGGAGGCACTTTGCCTCCAATGAAAATTCACTTGGATTCACTTCTGAGTGGTGTGCAATGGACAGCTGGCAACAACTACCGACCAGCTGATGGATGTGTTTTCGTGCAGCTCCCCTTTGGCGTGGATGACGGCAACACTGCTGGAAAGAGCTTTTGTGGAGCAAATTCGATGTATAATTCATTTTACCCGCGGACCATGATGGAGCCTTTTGGGTGCATTTGGCACCCGCCACCCTGGAATCAATTACAGCGAGTTGGGGAAGCTGCGAACCCTGGACCCAAGACTGGTCTCATGACAGTGGCTGGCCTCAATGTTCAGAGTCTCAATGCTTTTTTGGATGATGGGCGATTCTTACATGCGGCAGATGTGGTTTTCTTTTCTGAGACGGCGGCAACAGTCTTTGTACAACAGAAAGCAACGAAACAAGCGAACATGGCTGGCAGACACCTGGTTTGCAGCAAAGCGGCGGCTAGGAGATGCTTCTCAGATGGCAGACAATGTGAGACCAAAGGGCAAGCGATTGGATCTGCAATCTTGTCGAAAATGCCTATGAGATCACTGCGAGCCCAGTGGACTCCGGAATCCTGGCAGACAGGACGAGTGGTTGATTCTTTCCTGGTTGCCCCGGTTGGACTTATCTATGTCTGTGCTATTTACGGTTTTCATCAAGGCCACCCTGATGCTGAACTGCGAAATGAAGATCTGTTGCGGGAAGTGGCCCAGAGGGCATCTGCTTTGGACTGCCCAGCGATTATTGTGGGTGACATCAACATGGATGTTCAGGCCCTCCTTGCGTGGCAATTGTTACAGGACCAAGGATGGCAGGATGCAGCCATCTGGCAACAAGCAAGGGATGGTCGCGAACCTGCTTGTACTTTCAAAGAGGACTCGAGGATTGACTACGTCTTGGTCAACCCCAAAGCTGCGGTGGCCCTCCAACACTTTGGTGTTTCTGAACAGCCGGAGACCGATCACAAATCTGTCTTTGCCACCTTTGATTGGAACCTTTTACCCCAGCAGGCGAGTTCATTCCGGATGCCGTTGGATGCCTCAAAGCTCAACTTGCTTGAACATGAACTGAAGATGGCTTACATTCCTGCGGCTCTGGATAAGGATTTACAGTCAGCGCTGAAATCTGGTGACAGTGAGGTGGCATGGACTGCCTTTGCCCGGGCCTATGAGGGATCAGTTGCCTATGCATTGGAGACGAAGGCTGAACCAAGGCCGCCGAAACATTTCTTTTCGCGTGGTCGCTCTGTTTTCCACAAGGTACCTTTCCTGGAATCGCCTACCCCGTCTGCGAGACTGGGCGAGTTTCAACCTACAGGTGATGAAACGAACATCCTGCTTAGACAAAGAGTTCGTCAGGTTCGAAGGATTGCGACCTATGTGGCACAGATGCGGGCTATGTCGCGCCATGAGAACGGTTCCCGGCCTTACTGCAATGCTGATCAAGCCCGCAGACAAACATGGAGAGCAATACTTGCGTCCTCAGGTTTCCCTGGTTCCTTCCAGAAGTGGTGGATGGATGTACATTATCAAGAGTTTCCTTTGGGTTTCCCTTCAGCGGCCGTAGCCAATGTTATGCTTGATGTTCTTAAGAATGACGAGATTCATTGGAGTCACTTGGCTAGAAATTCTCGTGCCCAGTGCACTAGAAAGGTCTTCCACGATGATTGGAAAAATGGTGGCCACAAGCACTTTAGTGCCATCAAGCCGCCGGGAATGCCCAGAGTTGACTCGCTGGATATTCCTTCCTCTTTACAAATCCAGCTGTGCAGAGCCCGTGGGAAAAGATCTTTCGTTTGCACTCCAGTCCATGATGATTTGCAATGCATTCATGTGGGATGCAGATGGACTCAGGGAACGTCTTCGGCTGTTGTGTCCAAGATTGTTTCGGGCAAAATTCACCTTGCTGATGTTGTGGGGACTTTTACATCTGGTTACATACAGCAGCACAGGCCTTCGGCCATCCCGCAGGAGATCACAGAGGTTGCTGGTCAATACTGGAAATCCTTTTGGAATACCAAGCGATGCTCTGATGCAGATGATGTGGAAGTGATGGAGGCTATTGATTTTCTTCCCCAGTTACCGGTGTTGGATTGCAACGTGGACCAACAGGATTTGCAATGGGCCCTTTCCAAACTTTCTACCAAAAAGGCTCGTGGAATGGATGGTTTCTCCAACTATGAGCTGAAAGCATTACCACTTGCGCTCCACCCACACCTCCTTGATCTACTCAATCTTTTCACGAAAACAGGTGTTTGGCCACAGGCTTTGCTGAGGGCGAGAATGGCATTGCTTCACAAAACAACGGAGATTGGAGACATTACAACGACGAGACCAATCACCGTTCTGGCTTCAGTATATCGCCTATGGGCAAAGATTATGACACGGAAACTGCTCAGACATGTGACACCGCACTTACCCAAAACCTTATTTGGCTCTGTGCCGGGAAGATGCTCTGGTGATATGGTGGGTGCTGTCCAAAGTCGGTTGGAAAGATCTTTGCTGACGGGACAACCTATGCATGGAGTCAGTCTGGATTTTTCCAAAGCCTATAACACTTTACCGCGTGAATTGTTGGAGAAGATCAACCACCGTTTAGGATTGGGTGCTTTGTGGAAGCCATACTCTTCTTTTCTATCTGATTTGCAGAGGCATTTCAAGTGTGGTGACCATTGGGGCAGTGCACAACTATCTACGGTTGGTGTACCAGAAGGATGCCCTATCGCGGTCGGCCAGATGATACTCTTGACATGGGTTTTTACAGAGGCAATGCGGCGACAAACATCGACGACCCTTTTTTCTTATGTTGATGATTGGGTGATGCTCAACGGTGACGCCCAGTTATTGGCGGAAGCTATTATGCAATTGGACAAACTTGCGCGGAAATTTGGCCTTCTCTTGTCTTTGCCAAAGTCTGGGGTTTTTGCCACGGATCAGAAACTGGCTAGGAAGCTACAGGCCCTATTGGGTGGACAAGGCTTTCGGCTGGGGCTGGTGAAGAACTTTAAAGGCTTGGGCATCAACTTCCAGACTGCCAAACAGCTTTCAGCCCAAATCCGGGACGAGAGATGGACGAAGTCGAAGGTTTTACTGAACCGCCTACAGTATATGCCATGGTCTGAGAAGATCAAAACACAGATTGTCACACGTGGGATCATGCCGTTAGTCTTCTTCGGTGCACAAACTTGGGCAACTGGCAAGGACTTTATTCGTGAAGTTAGGGCCAAGTGCAACCACTCTGTATGGGGCAAGAAGCAGTACCATTTGCACTACTTGACGCCTTTATTTTCGGGAACATGCTATGAACCGGTGCTTTACCTCGCAAAGTATCGTTTCTCTGCATTGCTCCGGTTGATGGCGAGGGATTTACCTCTGCTTCAAGAAGTGTGGGACTTGGCAATCCAGAAGAAAGCATTCTTCAAAAGGGCCACGAAGGGTATGGTGTCTCTTTTTCTCAACCAATTACATGACCTGGGATGGGAACTCCAGAGAGATGGGACCTGTATTTCACTGGATGGTTGGGTCTTCAAGATATGGGAGATATCTGCTGCTCAATTTGCTGATATTGTTTCTGCTGATTGGGAAAGAAACCTCCTACAACATTTGCATACAAAGAAGCATTTTGCGGACTTGCAAGACTTTTCTGTGTTTCGGTCTTCTTACCCTCCCTTGCCGGACCCTCTCTTGGAAGGCTTCATGCGGAAAGTTAGGTTGGGGGGATTGTTCCCGCAAAGAAGGAGATCGCATGTCAACACAGCGGAGGAACAATTTTGTCACCATTGTGGAGCTGTTGATACACTGGAGCATCGTGTTCATGACTGCCCAGCTACTTTTTCTGTTCGACTACAGAATGATTGGAAGGATATTTGTTCGCAGCCTGACTACATGTTGCTCACTGGTTTGTTCCCGAGACTCAAGGACCACAACAAATATTTACAAGCTCTTGATGATATTCAGCACCCCCCAGTGTTGGATCCGCCTATACAAGTGGAACGCTTCAATCTGTTTACGGATGGGTCGGCCATTGACAACACCTGTCCGTTTATGAGGCTGTGTGGATGGGCTGTCACCTGTGCTCATGATGGGGGACCGCGGAATACAACTCTGTGCGCTGGGCTTTTGCCAGGTAGAAGACAGACTGTTTTTCGTGCAGAATTTCATGCAGTAAATGCGGCTATAGCCTCGGTGCCATCGGCGAATATTTACACGGACAATCAAGCTGTTGCCAAGATTGTGAACCAGTTGCTGGTCTCGGAGTATACAGACGAAGCCTGGATAGCACACCATGATAGAGACCTGATACGCACGTGTTCGAGGTTGCTCTCGTCCAAACAGAGAGGGGCCTTTTCAGTCACCTGGGTCAAAGCCCACAGACCTCTCACTTCGGCCTGCAACAACTACGATTTATGGCTTATTCATCACAATGCTGCTGCTGACAGTGCTGCTAACAAACCGTTGCTTTCCATTCCGCCAGAGCTGCTTTCTCTTCGTACGTCCTTGACTGCTACTTTGAAAGCTGATTTACTGCTTTAAGACCAAGATTTGCCGCCACCTCCGCTTGATCATGGATGAGTACCCCTGAAGCTGTAAAGGATTCCGTTAGTTTTTTGAGCTTTGGCTCCTGCTCCGCCTAATGTGGTGGTATAGTCACGTCGCCTACGACCGGACTTTGCCATGCCAAGTTGTGAACCAAAACCTAAAACTTCGCGTAAACCCTATAAGCCTTAGACTCTCTGCGTGCCAACTCAAAGTCTCACACTCTCGGCTGTGACCTCGAAGGCGTGGCTTTTCAGCAGGATTTCCCTGAAGCAGAGCCCATGCGGCCTGAGGAACTTTTCGGGCTCAGGGTTGTGAGGGTTTTTTCGCTTCGGGTGTAAGGGCTGGGGTTTATAAATTAGGGTTATGAAGGCTTAGGGCTTAGGGTGTGCATGATACGCTTCGTTGGGTATATCTATGCGCAGCTTAGGGTTCCCGGCTGTGTCCATGCTAGCTCAAGGCTTCGAGTCAAGCTTTGTCCTCGTGTAGCTGCGAGTTTATGGTTTAGCTAGGCTTTCGGGGATCAGGGAAGGTCTCTAGCGTCGTGGTGGCTATTTGTGCCTTAAAAAACATGGAGTCTATGCACATTTGTAGCTCCAAAAGATCCTCCTCCCGAATTGCACATGACACACAACCCCAAGCCCAAAGTCAACCCGTCCGCACGCCAACCCCTTCGAAAACACTCCACAAACGATGTAAACAAACCTCCCTATCCTCCGAACAAAACCGAAACCAACCCCAAATCAAAACAAAGCACGCTATAAGTATCTATATCATTATCTCCATGTAAATACATACTTGTCTAGAAAAGGCATACTTGTGGACATAGACATAGACATATACATATGATAGGTGTATGTATATGTGTGTACATGTGTGTTAACCCTCTCCCTCTCTCTCTCGCTCTCTCAAACCCTTTTTGCCACTGGACTGAAGTCTAGCCAGTTGAAGACCGAGACCCTAAACCCTAAACCCTAACCCTTAAACACCTAAACTCAAACCCTAAACCCTAAACCCTAACCCTTAAACACCTAAACTCAAACCCTAAACGCTAAACCCTAACCCTTAAACACCTAAACCCTAAATCCCCTTCCCCGCTCTACGAAACCAAAGCAGATGCAGGCCGGCAGACTCCTCAGGCGCGGGAAAGGAGGCCTCCTCATTGCCTCGGGAGCAAATTCACGGTGTTTGGGATCACATCGGGTTTAGGGGTAGATTTCAGGAGTCTGGGTTCGGTAGATTTTTAAAAGCCCTAAGGGTCCATGTACTCAAATAGAAAATACATTGGCCTCGAAGTAGTCCCTATATAGGTACATTGGGGCCAATGTATACACTATTTGGGTACATGGACCCTTAGGGAAGGTTCAAGGAGCTTCGGCTCAAGGAGCTTCGGGCTCTTTTGAGAATACGTATGGGCTGCATCAGCTTTCCATGGAGTCTTGCAAGGTCTGACTAGGTGAGGGCACAAGGTCGGAACTCCAGACGCCAGTTGTTGAATAGCCCTTAGGCCTCCAGCTCCTCATCTATAAACGGAGCAGATCATCGGAATTTCTGACATCCAGTCAGCGCAGCAAAGCGTCCAGCGTCGCCCGGCCGTCGTTACTAAGCACGTCTCTGCTCGCCCCAGCCTCCAGAAGCAGGCGAACGATGCCTCTGTTGGAAGCTCTTGCTGCGATATGGAGTGCTGACTGTCTTTGGATGTCAAGCAAATCCTTCTCCGCACCTGCAGCTAACAGCAAGCGAACAGCTTCTGCGCTACCGCTGCCGGCTGCCCAGTGGAGTGCCGATTGGCCCTGTTTGTCAAGCACGTCCTTATCAGCTCCAGCCGCCAACAACAGGCGGACAACTTCTCTGTTACCCCTTGCCGCAGCGACATGAAGCGATGACTGGCCCCACTTGTCCAGCAAATCCTTCCCAGCCCCGGCTGCCAAAAGTAAGTGAACAGCTTCTTTGCCATCTTCTGCAGCATAATGTAGTGCTGTTCGGCCTTGCTTGTCACCCAGATCCTTCTTAGCCCCAGCCTCCAGCAACAGGCGAAATGCTTCTCGGTTGCCGTCGATCGCTGCAATGTGGAGTGCTGACTGGCCTTCAATATCCCGCAAGTCCGCACTGGCCTGGGCCTCTAGCAGCAAGGCAAGAACATCCGTCGGCATGCCATAAGCTGATGCATAATGGATTGCAGATCTGCCCCGCTTATCCGCAAAGTCCCTGTCAGCCCCAGCCTCCAAAACCATCTCTACAGTGCGTACGTCGCCAAGTCGACAGACGTGATGAAGTAGCGTCTGGCCACTTCGATCTGGCAAGTCTGGGTCTTGAGGACGCTGCAGCACCTCTTCAACCTGGGATACATGCCCGCTCTACCTGGCGTAAGAACTTGAAGACGTCCCAAGGCGAAACTTCCGCAAAGGGCAGCTTCAGCAGCTGCACGTCGACGAGCGAGCCCAAGTCTGCTAAAGGATCCTCCAGGCTGGCACCTCCGTGCATGAGCCGCTGCCGGTAGCGCGGCAGCCCGCACACCGAGCTGATGCGCCGCTTCAAACCTCGCACGTCTGTGAGCTCCTTCGAAGGCACCGTCAGGAGCCTCTCTCCAGAAACCGACCAAACGTTCAGCATGATGCTCAGTGGCCGCAGGCGGTAAGTGCTACAATATTAGGAACGTATTTATTACATCCTGGAAGAGGTCTACTACAACACATGAAGCGCAATTTTCTCTCGCACTTGCTGGAATCATCACAGACTCTTGCATGGGGCCGACACGTTGCAAGAGGTATCTTGATCAGAGCAGTCGAGCAAGGTGCACCACAATGGCACTCCTAAGCCATAAAGCCCTAAACTCGACTTGGGCAAAATCCCAAAACCTCAAAAGCCCGAGCCCTCTCCTGTCCTAGCATAGGTCGGTCTAGGTTTGTGTCGTTGGGGTTTTAAGGCCTTAGCTACGAGGCCTTCTGTTTATCTACGTGTTTTCGGGCTTTCTTAAGTTGCTTTAGGATTTACCGCCGTTTCATTACGTTCGTACAGGCCTTCATTGGGTTTCATACGGGATTGAAATTCAGCCGGCGCCCCAGCGATTCAACCTTACTTGAACCCAGGTCTCTGCGATGTCATGTGTGAGGAGCGAGTCGGAGATATCCAGTGACACCCTTGAGCCCAAACATTTGGAGTCGACAGCCCCGACAATGCTTGTATTACGTTAAGGGTTTAGGGTTTAGGGTCTTGCACTATCAAAAAATCTAGACAAGCCGTACCGTACGAAATTGAAACCCTGCAACGAACCTTCTGAAGATCTTCAGGTCTAAACCTATACTTATATACATTAGACCACTGAGCTTCGAAGAGCCCGCCAGCCTGAACCTTGCACCCCAAAGCCCCCATACCCCACGCAAGCCAACAAAAAATTGAGCTCAAAATCAAAAAGGACCCTTCTATAATTACAGAAACTGATACCTAAACCCTGAGCCCTGACCCCGATCTAAACCCTAAACCCTTTTGCAGCTGGCCTCGTTGTCCAGCAGCCCGGTTACAGCAAGAGTCCCCTTTCCCCCGGCTTCCTAAACCCTAAACCCAAACCGTTGCAAAGCCAGACAGCGACCTCAGGCCGGCACCAAACCGCTCTGACCAGCGCTTGAGGAGATCCACCGCGGCAGAGCGATCGGCGAGCTGTCGGCAAGATCAGGCGTCTTTAAAGAGTAACTTTCAGGGATACAGTATTATTAGTAGTACTGCTATTACATCTATTACTATTACGATTATTACTATTAATAGAATTGTTGCTAGGTTTAGGGTTCGCTCAAGTGCACAATAAGAGTTCTATATAAAGAGCCTGTACAGTCGCAAAGCTATCTTTGTTGAAATGGTCCTCGACAAGAATCGTTTGATCCTCCGTTTGGCAACCACAATCCTGCTGTGCTCTCTTCAACCGATGCTCCTGCCCGGTGCTTGTTGCTTACATTCTGCGAACTGCGGTCAACCAAGGTCTCAAACTGTCGAACACGTCAAGCAGATTGCAGACAACTTCAGACCCCTTACTGAAGTTGAATGCAATGTCGCCGCTCCGTGAGACGTCCAGCCGCAAGCAATCAACTCAAACCGCAAAATCCTATAAGTGCTATGACTTCAGGTGTACCTACATATGTGCCTATATACAATTATGTCTTTTTATGTATCCTGATGTGATATTCAATCGTTTGTAAACCACATCGTCTAAACCCAATCCAAAGCCCACAAGCTCCGAAGCCTCATTTTACAAGCGCTGCTTTGGGGTCTGTCATAATTACCATATGTATAATTTAGGGTTTAGGGTAAACCCTAAACTTCCTAAACCCGACACTATAGCCCCCTTTGAACCATAATAAAAATGATATGTTTAATATTCTCTTGGGCATTATATGATCACCCTAAACCCTAAACCCTAAATCGATTTAAAAACAACTCCAGGAGACTATAGTAGAGGGACCTGCCGGCCGTGACTTTCCAACTCCGCGCCGATCTCCGCCGCGCCCCGCGCAGCGCGCGGGTTCCGGAACCTACCCAGAGACTCCAATATCCATTAATTAGTCTTAAAGAATGAAAACAAATAAATCAATAAATAAATAAATAAATATATATGTATATATATATATATATTTATATAGTCATATGTATATATATATATATATATATATACATATATTTGTGCCCTAAGTTATGGGACCTATGGGACCCTGGAGGGTTTAGGGTTTTCCTTCCCTCCTACTTCGCAGGGACGAGGCCCGCATTGCAGGGTCGTTCCTGCGGACTTGGTGTCATCATCAGGAAAGCTAATTACATGACTCAGGGCCATAGCTTGAGTAGCTACCGCCTTAAGCCCATCTCCTCACAAAATCACAAGCCTCAAGTCACAGCAGCTCTCATGTCAGGTGCCACTAGGCGAGGTTCCCAAGAGCTCCAGAAAAAGTATGACACAAGGATTTAGGGTTTAGGGTTGTGTGGGGTTTCGTATGGTGTTTAGGGTTTGGGGT